GCTCTGCAGGTGTATGTCATCCCACGTGATAATTTACAGGATATATCAAGTGCACGTTTACACCTTAATGAACACGAACAAGTACATGTACATGTATGTGTACATGTATCGTAGGCCTCCATGGATGGTAAATCCCTTGTTGCATGCATACATGTACATGTACATTGACAGAGCCAAGTGCACTGTGCCACAAACCGGTGTGGCATTCTTTCCATATCTTACATGTGTAAATGCTGGATAACGCCTTCCGGTAATTAACTGTATCTAGTTTGGCTCATTGAATTGCAATTAATTCTGCATCAGAGATAAAGCTCCAGATTAGTTAAATGGTTTTATTAATGACTTTAGATAACGTTCTTTGGGGGTGGTATTTATTTAGTGGCTGTGTTGTAACACCTTGGAGCCTGTATAAATCTCCAGTCAGCATGGACTGCACTAGTTAGAGTGTATGCCAAGGCACAAACAGTTGTCTTACCATATATGGGAATGTGGCGCTAGATCAAGGTGCGTGATTGGATCAAAGTGAAATTCCAGAGCACTTCAGAGACACCCTTCTTCTGCTGTAAATGGGGTTAGTTAATCGTATCCACAGGCCCACCAGCTGGCTTTTGGGAGCGTACCACCCCAAAAGTCCCAGAGGACCAGTTGCCTACAATACCATGCAACTGTCCACTGAGATTCTCCGTTCCCCCCAAAGAAACTTTCTGAAGCATCAAAGACTCTCTGGCTAGGTCTAATTGAAATTCATCCCCCTTTCAATTGAAATCCAATCACCTAATTGGTATTTCATTTGGGCCATTTGTGGTGAGTTTTCTTCTCCCCTAAGTGCTTCGTACCCAGGCTGGCAGACCCCAACAACACCACGCTAATTAGGTCATGGTGTCAATTGCTTGATAAGTAGCAGTGCATTTGGTGATCAGGTGCCAAATGGTCCCAAGAGGTTGGTCCCCAGCTTGGGCTGGGCCTTAAGTGGTGGTTCTTTGGAGGGATTTGCATACAGCAGGCCCATATCCCGGAAAGCCTCCTGACCCTGTCATCTTTAAAAGAAGGTAGCCGTGATTTCTTGAGATGTGTGAGGCTTTGGCAACAAAAGGAGAGCTCGGTTGATAGTTGGTTGAGAGCATAGTTGGAAAGTCTTTGTAAGAACCAGTGTATTCACCTTGGTTTTGTTGGGGGGGGGAGTCAAGGGGCCAATTTCACAAAGCTGTTTACCGGTTTTTATACAACACGGAAGTACTTAGAGCAGAAAAGCATTGCTGAGCTGAAATGGGTTACCAGTCAAACGCCATGCGATGCAAGCTGTGGGTGGTTCTTTGCCAGCATTTTCCGTGCAGAATTCTTATTCGGTATTTCTATTAAATTGGGACCTGATGTGAGACTGAGTCAGCATGTATACATAGAATGTGCTGGCTATTCCTTGCTCTCTCGCGCAGTTCGGGCTGATCATCCACTGATTGATTTATGCTGAAAGTGAAATGCCCCGTAATTAGAGAAACATATTTGCTCTTGGCAACTTGTACGACTAAAAACAGTTTTTTTTTCGAAAGCAAATGTACATGTACATACTGGTACCTGCTAGCTTCAAATGAGCGCTGCTCTAGAGATACATGTGCATGTACATAAGCCACGCATGGGTCACAGCACACAAACACGTGTGACGATGTGTTACTTTGGCACTTGAGTTACACTAAGTTACAGGAGCTGTGTGCAGAACATGTATGAAGTAACAATACGAGCTCCCTTGGTCCTGTTTTGTTAACCTTAACAGACAGCAGTTCCCAGGCAATTACAGCACCAAGTTCCCATTCAGGACCCGCGTCAAAAAGTCAACAGCAAAACATCCCAGCTCCCAACATTATTGACATTGCAAGGTACAAAAATATTCCGACTTGTATGCCTCGTGGCAGCTTGTCAAACTCCACACTCCCGGTCGTCCCATCGAAAATGCTCCCAGCCTTGATTTCATTGAAACATGTTTTGCATCTATTTTTGTTACTGTCACTCACTTTCAAAGCCCTGCACACCTTCTGCCAAATCAGTTGCGGCAGCCGAAAGAGCCAGGGTTGCTCTAATTGGTTCCACAGACTTGCAGCTGTCTTGGGGAAAACATGAGATTGCGAGAATTGGGGAGGGATATCCAGGGTCAGTGATTACAGCACTAGATTCTGACCATGGAGGTCTCAGTGAAAACCTGAAAAGCTCATGGTTCCTGTGTCCTTGTCAAGTTGGTCACCTTAATGCCCTTAAATTGACCAACAAAAATTATCGAAAGGAGGGGACTGGTTTTATGGAAGGCGGCTTACGGGTAGCAGCATTTGTAGTGACTCTGGCTTGTCCACGTACAAGGTGTGAATCACTGTAGGAGTGTAAGATTTCATACCGCATCACATTTGTTTTTACGGTGTGCTTTATACTGTTACTTTAAACAGGTTTGGATTCAGTGTCTCACCCCTTGTGGCAAACTGGTTCGTCACTGCAGTGTGGTTTCATTTCAGATTTTAAGAACTCATTATCCTGACCTTGTTGACCAAAAGTGCAACAGTCAGTCTTGAGCCAAGTCTGATATCTCATCAAAACGTTTGCCTTGTTTGTGTAATGATCAGTGAACCCTGCTGATGCTGGCCTGCTGCTCGCCCTGTGACCATTCATTGCTTCGGTGACCCCTCACCCCAACTTGGATCAAGGCTGTATACATGACCTGTCCATATGGGGGCTCCTGGTGGTCAGTAGACTTAGAATGACCTTAAGCTGGGTCACAATTAGGCTGGTCTCTCCTCTCCCAGCTGGTCATCAATTAAATGACTGATTGGGAGGCAAATCCTTTCTTGCTTCCCAACTCCCTGTACTGGTCTTTCATGGGAAGTGCAGTTTTTGTTCTTTGAAAGCTGTGTTGTGGTAACCAGTGATTAGTACCAAGTAAACTCATTTTGTTTCAAGAAATGATGTGGCATCTTTAGAGGAATACGGATGAAAATGGACTAGAAACAGCATGATACCGGTGTTAATTTGCAACCCTGACAGGAACATGTAGCAGGATTGCTTGTTTCTTATTTGATAGCACCACATCAGCATAGCTAAATGCTCACAACGCATCACCTATTTAACAGTTTGCAGGACAGGAGAAAGGCTCAATTGAATATTTCAATTCTTGAAGTAATTTGGAATGTCTTAAGATCAGTGCCCACCCTGGCATTGAACCGAGTAGAGGGAAGAAAACTCATGAGTAGACATGCTCAGCATGGAGTCAAACCCCCAATAGTCGGGAAGGAGGAACATTATTCAGGGCAGCTGGTGCGAGTGAGCGAACCAGTCTGGAGGAACCGGACAGTTTAAACATTGTCTTTACGTCTAGCCAGGAAGTCAACCCATGTTTGCGCTTGGCGACAGATCAGTAAATCCCTGGTTACACAGTATGTAATCCGTAGCCCTCTGGCTGGCAGACAACACACACACGATCCCAGACTACCACAGAATCATCTCTTTTTACATGCATGTCACCATGGAAATGGATCACTGTATGGAAAGTACAGCGGGACATGGAAAAACTAACCGATGCTAGGACATGGCTTACAGACCTTCTATATACAGGTGGATCATTTTATAAATACATATATATATATAGTTTTCAAGAGGAAACTACAGCCACTCTATTAAAAATAAACTACCAGTACAAAAGTACAAAAGCCCCCTCACTTCCACAGATGAGACAGCCTGGTTGTGAAGATTTCAACTTAGTGCATGTTGTACATGCCAAGTCCATACGTGTACATTTGATAATTTTTCCCATAAATGGACTGCCATTCTGAGCTAAAAAAAAGCCATCTCTTGTCTGAAGACATTCAGTTTGTGTGATCTTTATTTCTTCACCAAACCAAGCCCTAAAAGGGGGGGGGGTTTAATGGTTAGATATAGCGTCTCTTCCTGCAATCTTGAATTCTCACTACAAGACCCTAGGGGAACCTCAGCCCTGGATTGACAACCCAAGGGAGAAAGGCTCTCCCCTCTCAGAAGAGCCCTATTGTGTCCCCCATCCCCCAAACAAAATAACCATCACCCAACACCCCACCAGATACATTGTACCTCTGGTGAAGGTTGTCAGGCCCTAACAGGCAGACCGTGGGGGCCTGCTGCCTTGATTATAAATTGCTGACAGGTCTGAAGCAGGCAGAACAAGATGTTTTCTGTGTTGCCTGTCAGGAGTGGTGTTTAGGGTTGGCCCTTGGGGCTGACATGGGCGATGAAATGCCACAATGGACAGGCTGTGCTGGACTGTTGGCCTGATGTCTAGAGCCTTGTCCTCTTGGAGGGCTGGTAAAAGTAGTGGGGAAATTATGGCTTTAGTGCAGGCAGTTCTCCTTCCAAAATCCCCCCCCCAACAATAATAGTTTCTTCACAAAAGTACCAGTTTTCTGTGCTCCAAAAGTCTGTGGTCAAGAAGGATTTAGAAGGATTTAGGAAATTGGACATGATTCCGGTTTTAAAATCTGTGATCCAACAAGTCACTTTTTTTAAAACAAAAATTTAGAAGCCTGTCCCATGTGGGCTTACATTACATGTAAAGGCCAGTTCATATCCAACGTGAAAGTGAACCCAAACGCGAATTTGTGACATCAGATGAAATATTCGCATCGCAAATTCGTAAAAGTTGAACATGTTTCAACTTGAATGAAATTTCGCTGCCAATTTTTCCAGACATCAAAATTAGCTTTGCTTGCAGTATGAACCGACCTTTACTCTTTCTTGAATGTTTACTTCTCATATTTCACCCTTGTTCTTGAATTCCTCTCCCCCTGCCGCCCCCTCTTTCCCTCAAATGTTGAGAGTACGTATATGTACCACGTAGCTCTGTTTTCCCACTTACATTGTTAAAGTTTATGAACTTAAACCATTTCTAACAGGCACCTATTCCAAATTCATCATATCTGTCCTCCTTACTCAAGAAAATGGAACAATTTTAATATCAACCTTGATTTTTATGTTGTCTTTTATACATTCTGCAGAACAACACAGTATGGGAGGTGGACCCCTGCACAACATGCTCGTGTCTAGGAGACCTGGTCATCTGTGAGCCCAAACAGTGCCAAGATCCTAGGTGTGACTTTCAAGGGGTAAGTCTCTCTCAAAACATCTTCAGAGTCCAAAGAAGTACCGGGACTTCCCATACCCCTCTGTACATAAGTCAGCTCCCAAGTCTTTTATTCTAATTTCCTCTTTTCTTACAGACCATTAGTGTGTGTGCAAAACAGTAGTGAGCAATAACAGCCTGTTTTGTGCATCAGTGCATTAGCTGTGATAGGGACTGGAGTATAACATTTTTCTTCAAGCTTTTTGTGGAGGTTCCTTGCAGGATATCTAAGGTTTCACCATTTTTAGGCTTAGAAGGGTTTGAACCCAAGAAATCAGTGGGGTTAGATACAGTGTCGTATCCATTTGCTAATGGCGGAGTTGTAACTAGTCAATAATTTTTCTGACTCAAGTCAGGTTGAGTCATTTCCTGGTGACTCAAGTCGAGGCGAGTCATTTACCCATCAAGACTCGAGATGAGTCACGTTGCCAAAATTTGTGACTTGAGCTGGTACTCAAGTCGAGTCATTGACTCGTGTCATTACAACTCTGTTTTTAATGGATGCTGTCTTAGATTCCATACTCACTCTGACGGCATCGTCCACTGAAGCTGTGTACCTGTAAGCCTGGTCCGATTGTCCTTCAGCCTTTTCCCGACAAATTAATTTATTTTTAAGTCCAACACACAGTTTGGCTTCGTATCTTACAGACATGTAAGTTTTATTTTAATACACATCAGAAGAGGAGGGAAAATTGCCACATATGATGAGTTCTGACCTCATGGATTGAATGGGAACGATGCATTACAAGAGAACTTATCAAGCTTGAGAAATACGAGATGTACACAGCTTTTCATTACGAGTGCCGTATATTTACACGTATGTTACCTGTGGCAGTGCATGTCATCTCTCTCCGCATGGCAGACCAATCACAATTTCACAAACATCTCATACCTTAACTGAGCCCAGTTGAGTTCTACCCACCGACTTTAATACGGGCAGCATGCGGGCGACCCCACTGCCCCACACTGTGAGCCAGTTTATTGCCATGTTATGATTGGCGAAGACACCCCCGAGAGATAACATCATTGCCTCGTCAGCACTCCACCGAAGAAGTTCTCCGCTCAGGCCGCAAAAATACCAAATCCAATTTTCGCCGTCACGTCATGCTATGTAAATAGCCCGCTGGGGCCACCTGCGTGCGGGCATATCTCCACTGATAAACTTACTACACGGGGATTGGCTGCCCATAGAATTACCATACCATCGGTAAATTGTTGCAATTGATATCTAACCACCCCAAGATAATGTTGTAATTGCTGAGGGAAGGTGATTGCGATGGTCATCCCTTCCTCTGAGAGGGTAATATCAAGCAGTAGGGTGGAAGCCACAGTATTTTTGGTTGGGCCGAGGTCAAGTTCAACCCAGGTTGTTACTCAGTTTGACAGAGAATTTATTCGTGGCTCGATATTCTCTTTTCTCAATGCAGTTTTGGCTTTCGCAAATTGTGGAAATCGATTTTTAACTACCCTGAGATGTTATAATTGCAGGGGAAGGTGATTATGGAGGTTTCTCCACCTTCTGAGAGAGTAATGGCAAATAGTAGGATGGGAGCTACATTTTTTTAAAAACTTTGTCCAGGTCAAGTTTATTCTAGGTTTCTCAGTTGGACAGAGGCTTCTCTGTGGCTTTGATTCTCTTAAGACAGCTCTTGCTTACATTGAGTTTGGAATGGATTGGGCGCTTAGCACCACAGCCATGCTTACAGCCAAGTACAATGAGGAAGGGATCTGAGCTGTGTAACTCCAAGGACTCTGCAGGGTTTTGTGTGATCAGAATCCCAGGATTCTTCTTGCACCTGTTTCGCGAGATACCACAGTAACCGGTACCTTAACTTGCCCCCTAGGGTTTGTGTGAAATCATATTGAAATTGGAGGATTGGGGACTGTTTGGCTAGGGGAATGTTCAACGCTGTGAAGCATGGTTCGTTCTTGACACAGATTTTGAAGCAAGCAAGTCCATAAGGATAAACTTTGAGCCCACTGAAATTCACTTAAAAGTGGAGTTGTTGTTGATGTCATGCATTTGTTAAGCACATCTCGAGACAGCAATGTTTGTATTCTTTCATGAGCACGCCGTTTGTTCCTAAAAGGATGCCATCAGGGAAATTCGCAACTTTGGTTCTTGCCATCACAACTTTGCCTGCAATTGGCGACATTTATTTTGAAGACAAAAATGTAAAATGGCACCAAAAATGGGGATGGAGGTTGGAGAACACAAAAGTCCCAACATTACAGTCAATTTCATTGCAGTATTGGAGAATTGCTGTGCTTCAGATCTCAAAGCCTGGGTTCCCATGCTGGACAAAAGGTGCCGCACAATCTCATCCACCAAATGCCTAAGTAAACATCGAGCAGTCCCAGTCAGATCCCCGGAAAATCTGCTGATGATCTTATTGTAAATATAACAGGAAGGTTCGGGGTCTCTACACCTGTTGGCTTCTGGCGCTGTCTGTCAGCATTCTCATCTGAGGTCCAACGACTCTCACGCAACTCCCCAAGTTTTGTCTTACATGTATTTTTACAGCTACCAAGCCCCCCTGTGAAATAAAGACCTGCTCTTTTAGCCGTGAAAGAGTTTTCCAAACAGCAAAATGTGGAATAGACAGCTTGCTGAATGGCAGAAGAGATATCAGCAGACCAGCACTGGCAATTCTCAACAAATTGATTGTCGGAAAACTCGGTGTCTAATCCCATGTTCCATGAGTGCACAGACAAAAAGAAGATGGAAACAGAAGGTTGTTTGAATTGGAACACCGGGCAGATAATTTATTTATTTTTTTTGACCCGTGCTGCAAGAGAACAAACAGTTCAGTCCCAAATCAACTCCAACTTTGTCTTGCAGACAAAGTTCTTGGGCCACATTTCTAAAAAAGTTTTTTGTGGTTTTTTTGTGGTGAAGAAGAGGAGATGAAACATACTGTCCACAATACAGATACATATATGTCCTGCAAATTGATTGGTCTGTCCAGCGATTAAAACCCAAAATCCAAACTCCAACTTACTGAAACCGACCTGTGAAATATTATGATATGGGGGAAAAATAACAAGTTTCAAATCAAGGGTGATAACTCCACAAATGTACTTCAAATTACTCAATAGAGAAAAAGTATCCCAGGACCTTTTTCCAATGATGACAATTTGTCCGGATCCTAAATCTTTTCTTGAGTGGCCACCTACTGTCCAGATTTGACCCCTGGTCTGGACTCTGCTGGTGTCCCTCTCAGGCTCTGAGCATCTAGCCTATTCCTGACCCACAGGAAGAGACCACTCTTGTTCTCAGGATACAACTGTTTCTAATCGTTTTCGGTTCAGTTCTGATTGGAGTTGACCGGTCAGTTTCGTTTTTCACCCAGAGTGGTGGGAACTACGGAGCTGAATTTTTGAGTCTTGATAGCTGAATTCAAAATATTCAACTGAAATTTTCAGCTGGTGTAGAAGTGCCAGTCAGTCAGCCCTTCACTGGAAAGTTTAAATTAAGCCACTCAGGGCAACCCACATGTTGAAAAACAGAAGCAGAAATGTTACTTCATGCATCTCTAGTTTATATACATGTACAGTGTACATAACACACAGCTTCAGCTGCTGGCACATAAACTTACTGCGCTTGCTTATGGATGTGACATAGAAACTACATTACATTGCAAACTAAAAGATACATGTACTCAGTAAACCAATTATTTCTTTGGTTACTAAGTAATCATTTCTTATTTCTCATCTGTCCTTGTCTTCCCGAAACAGCTTGGAGGTGTTTTGATAGCTTAAGTTTAGGGGTACTTGCGGCTTTAAGGCCAACAGTATTGGACCTTGCCAACTTTGCGGTTATTCAAGTCCACTTGATGTATGGCCAGTGATACATGGACTGTTTCTACTGCATTTGATGCAAGAGGGATCCCCTACAGGATCTGAATGTATCAGTTGCGTGGTTGGGTGTACATGTACATGTCTTCATGTACAATCGGGTGTGAGAACAAATTTCACAAACGCCGGTGCCTTGTCATGAAATCTGTACTTGTTTGGTTAGGATTCGGCCAGTTGTTATTTCATGTTGATTTCAAATTGTGTGTTTGTGGAGCAGGGCTGCTGAATTCCACGCTATCACACACTACATGGAAAATATTTTCACCATTCAGACTAGTTATTCCTCATTGATGTACATGTAAAGAATTTGATGGGTTGTAAAGTGTTTCTCAAATATTTAAACTTGCTTTACTATTAAACTAACTTAGGTATGCAATTCATGAACTAATAATCTGCATTAAAGTAACATTTCCAATTCTTAGTTCTGGTAAGTTCAATATTGTTCCAAATCCAACGCCAGCATGCAGGGTCTTTAAAGTCACAACAGTATGAGAAAAAATGTCCAATCCATTTTTTTTTTTGGGCTGTTGGCAGGGGCATGACTGCAGGGTCCTGGGGTTGAACAGTGTTATCAGCTGATATATTGGGGTTAACTCGACAAAACCTGTAGGGGTGCCATACCCCCACCCACTAGTCCCTTCATTACCCACCCTTTCCTATCCCCTCCCCCCCAAGATGGATGGAAGACACCTTCCTGGTACCCAAGCCATCTATCATCGGTAGTATTTTAATACATGCATGTACATGTGCCTCCCCTGGGAAGAAAGCGAAAAGCACTTGCCAGTCAATCAAAACTGTTTTTTCTCATGTTTTTCGCTCAAGGGGTTCGGGCCACATTGAGGCACCTTTAGTAACCTCAATAATTTCTAGGTATTGAAAACTGGTAACCCTACGCCTGAGGCGGATGTAATTCAATGAAGATACATTTCACACTGCACGTCACCATATCTAAGGTGCAAGAGGAGGTCATACGCCTTGTTATTAGCCAAGCCAACATGTAAGGGGTCCCTTGTAATCCATGGCTAAGGTTTGCTGACTCCATTTTCGTTTCTTGTCAAAATGGGGATGGAGTGTCTTGGGTGCAATTTTCACGTGGTGCCTACCACCTGTTTTTGCAAGTTGCAGGACAAAGTCATCAAGTTCCTGGTTTATTATTATTCCATTCTACAGTGCTTCTGGCAATGTGTCGTCTTACCCAGATATCATTTGGGTGGAAGGGGGGGTTGCCATTTTTGACATTGGCAATGTTAATTATAGTGCATGTTTCATTTGCTTGGTTACAAAGAACGTTTCTCTTTAATGCGATCGTGAGATTGTATTTGTAAATTAAAAAAAGTTCAGTCGTTTCTGTAAATGCATCACTCCTAGTATGATGTTTAAATTGAAAATATTTTGCTTGTTATTTCTCACTTTCGAACAGGGGGAAACGTTACGCATACAGCCCAACAGATGCTGCCCAGAATGTGCGCCCGGTGCAGGCTCCTGTGAATACCAAGGAGAAATAGTAGGGGTGAGTTCATTGGCTGATTGTCAGGTTTTAACAAGCAAGCTGATTGGAGGGAATTGGTAGTCGAGCTATCGAAGGGGCATCGACATGAAAGGAAAAACCCCCAGAAAGGAGTCCTTCCACCATGCATACTGCAAATGATCAGCTGCGTGGATCAGTTATTGCTTAATGTGGCAATGAGCAACATCAGACCTGCTGAAAGTGCAGTTGGTTTTTACCAGCTTTTAGGGTTCGGGGTGATTTTTCTCTTGGCGGGAGCCAGATAGACCAACCTCACAAAATTAGCAAGTAATTTTTGTTCATTTTTCCATTAGTCGCATCTAGCCACCTGCCAAATGGGATTTCAAAGAATGGCTTACCATCTTGGATGTCTTTTAATTCCATTAAAAGTGGGAAGAGGGCAATTACATTTGTCCATTCTGAGGCATGATACCCTCTGGGTCATCCAAATCTGTAATAGTACGGTACCTCATGTTCTTTCAGGCGTGTGAAGAGACAAAACACAAGACATGTTTTTTAAAGCTGTTCAGCTCTTCAGGAAACATACTTGTCTGTTTTCGGGGGGGGGGAGGAGCATGTAACCCCCCTTTTTTCAACCACTGATAATTGCACATTTCCCCATCTGAGAAAACAAGGGGAGAGGTTGTGGCTTCAGCTGTTACCCAAGAGGGTAACAGCTGAAGATTATGGGCAGAATTCCCCAGGATGGGGGACGGGGGCCTGGTCAGTTGAAGGGCAAGGAGGGAAGAAGGAATGGGGCAGATGATACCTCAGGGCATGGACCTGTCAAGTCTGCTGGAGCTCTGGTTGAGTGGAATTTATCAGGAAGTATTTACTTGTTCGGCCCACAAGGGTATCAGTTCCCCCCAGCTGTATATTCCATAAATTGAGGTTAGATTGAGAGCCAAAGTATCACCGCCTGATGAAACGTAATATTCTCTGAGAGTCTGGTGTGGGTGAACCTGTAAGTTTGTTGTAAATTGGTGCGGAAATGCGTAATTCAGAGCTTTCTTTACCAGGTATTTACAACTTCCATGTACATTGATTCCCTGCTGTCATTCCAAAGTTCGTGCTCCCAGAGATATCATTTTGCAGAGATGATAGAAATGAAGTGCCCCGGAATTTGAGACAAGAGTCTTTGGAGTACATGTACATGCATTTGCATTGCTTGCTGTTTGGGTACAGTTGTGGTTTATTCATGAGCATTCAAACTCATTCATTCAGAGCGAAACATAAGAACTTCAGATATTGCAGGAACCTTACAAGGTTCCAATGGACCGATTATATGCTCTGTCCTTATGATTAGAACAGATGGTTTGAAACCTCTCAAAGACAGAAAATTCACTCCTGAGTGTTAACTAGATTCATCGAAGGGTCCTTGGGAACAAGGAATGACACTGACAGACTCCTTAGGAATGCCAGCACAATGCCTGGTCTCTCAGCTCTGATCTACATGAAAACAAATCAATAAGATGGCCGGTAGCACCAGTGTTCACGAACTGGATGCCAGGGAATGACTCAGAGAGTTCACATATTTGTACACCAGTACCAGTAAGACTGCCTGAATCGATTGGAGTGGCTTTTGGCCAAAAGAGGACAGCATTGTGAGGAGGAAAGATTAAAGAGGGGATCAAGATGACGGATTAGTTTTCTTTTAAGGACAGTGCCCCCAGCCTTGGGCGATTGATACAGATGAAAGGTGACTGTTGATCACAACCTCAGTTATGTTCAGCTTGTTTGCACCAGAGGATTACACAGAAATGTACATGTAATCTCCCTGTCCCTTTTTGTCACTACCTTAACATGAAGGGCTTGTTGGTGATCACAACCCAGAACAATTACAGGTACATTTTGAGTGTTTTTACAAATATGACTCTATTACACTCTTCAAGAAAATCTAGCTGCATCTGCCCACATGTAGTTTTCAGTGGCGATACAAATGTGCCACAGTAAAATCCCACAAGATTAGAGAGGTTAATTCATCATAGGGCCACCAACATAGGGCTGGGGAGCTCAGTTGGTAGAGCACTGTAACGGTATTCCAGAGGCTGCAGGTTCAAATCCCGCTCCAGTCAATTTCTTTGTTCATCTTTATAATCATTCATAAGCACCTAGTCAGTTTCCCTATGTGAGTTGTTTCATGATTTATGTTCAAAAAGACGCATCCTCTTTGAGTGATCCCTGTTCACCACTTCCCAGTTGTAATTGGGGTGTGATCCCTGGCTATATGGTGTTTCAGGTTTAATGGCTTCTGGCTAACGCCCCCTGAAAAGAGATATTGACAAATGGGAAGAGCCACCAACATAGGGCTGGGTACCGGTAGCTCAGTTGGTAGAGCACTGGTACTGTATTCCAGAGGCTGCAGGTTCAAATCCCCCGCTCCAGTCAATTTTTTTGTTCATCTTTATAATCATTGGTTTCCACAGTTTCAACCCACTGTTGCCCATTCAGATCTGCGTAGTATCAGCATCAATTCAAATATTCGAAAGTTGAATCCAGTTTAGCTCTGCCTGTGAAGAAGTTTACCTTCTGTTCTGTCAGTTCTGTGCAGCAGCTGCCGAAATCAAAGTCATGTTCATGTTGGTGCTGAATCATTTGATGCCGATAACTTTCAAAATGTTTCCTTATTTATAAGTACACCGTGTGCATGTATGTATCTCGGACTCAATTGATTAAAACCATGGCAATGCCGAGAGTTGATGAGAGACATGTGAATGGACTTATAATTGTGCCCATGACTGGCCCTCCCGAAAACCTCCAGATCTTTGGAAAAGATCGACGCAATTCCTATCTTGGCTCAATGACTAATAGGATATGGATTAATCAGCGGGCTTCCCCTAAGACTGGAAGGTTGTTTGGTGGGTCACATGATGGGAGGGGGAGAGGAAGGAGTCGGGTGTTGATTGATCGGGGGGGGAGGGATTTTTAAAAGGGTCTGCACAAACACCGCATGATTGTCAGTTCCAGCAAATGTTGCCAACTTTTGCAAATCTGTTTTTTGACACTTTGGTATGGTAAGTTAGTGATGGAAGTTGAAGTGTCTGCATTTAATAGAGCGCGCCTCAGATTGTCGGGTTCATGTCGGTGATCTAAGGGTGTCTGTAGTTGAATCTGTGGTTCTCATTTCAGGCCAACCCTTATTTTTGGCTACCTTTCACCTAAAATTCCCATGAGGAGTTTCAAGCGAGAGATCTGTCCATTGCATGTTTATATTAAGCTTAAGTGGACCAATTTAGCCTACATTGGTTCCTTCATTTTTATGGTCATGTCACTTTCAATCCTTAAAAGGCAGTTCACAGGAAGAAATACGGAAAGAAAAAAAACACACACAAAATAGGAACAGAAATTTCCAATACAATGGAAATGATGGATGTGCCATTTCTTTATTGTGACTTGCCTATAAAAGCCACTGCCATCCCAGCTCATTCTTTGGAAGTAAAACATTCCATAAAGGCAGTCGAATCGAGTTGAAAGAGTTTTTCTTCTTCTGAATAAATCTGAGCCCACACACTGTCAGTGGACTCAATCTCATCACATGGCTGCAGATCTATTCAAATTTCGTTGAAATCTCTCATGTTTGGTGACCAAAAAAAAACCTGCATCATGTTAATCCGTAGGATGATCCGCCAAGCGGAACACAGACAATCATTCCGTTGCGCCGTGTTGGACAAAAAATGCCGCAGAGGTCCAGACAAGTGGGAAATGGTATTGTAACATTCTGGGAAGCATCTGAATGAACTTGCCGGCTCTGCATACCAGACACTGCCGAAAGCAACAGAACCTGCTTCTGTGTTGACATTACGTACTATTCACCCTCCAATCCCAAGCGGGGACGGACGGAAGTAGCACACTAGGAGAAGATCAAGTAGGCTTAGAATCCGAGGACACACCGCGGTCTGGGTTTTGGAAGGATGTTTTTTCTCTTTATTCTCACAAATTGGAATTGAAGGGAGGAAGATGTGATTTCAGTGATGAGTGGAACTACAGCTTGAGTTTTTACGGACTGTTGAAGAAATTTTGCATATTGGAAATCAATTTGGAACATTTTGTCCTTGGTGACATCTGCATTCATCAGAATGTCGTACTGGACTGTATGACAAGATGAAGAGCTCAGTATGCTCCCTTGATTGCATGTGGATTAGGTATTTTTAGATGGGTCAGGAAAATGGCCTTATGCTTCATTTTGTGGGATCAGGTGATAATGAATTGTGTTGAGTGTAAGAGGCAGGATTCAGATGTTTTTATTACCGGTTTGGTTGTCTGTTCTTTCAGCTGTTTTCTCTCTCTGTCTTTGGTCCGTCTTTTATCACAGCACAACTCGCAGTGGAGTCTGTCACCCTGCCGTTCCTGCTATTGTAATAATGGGGTAGTCCAGTGCAGGAACCAGTCCTGCGGCATAACACAGTGCAGGCCGGGGGAGGTCCTACACCAGCTGCAGGACGAGTGCTGCCCAAGATGCATCCGGCCTGGCCGTAAGTTGCACGATCCCTCCCTCCCCCTTCTGTCAGACCCCGCCCATTCCCGGCAGCCTGTGTATGACATGCTGTGGGAGGAGTGCTGTCCAAGATTTGACCATCCGACTTGACCATGAGCGCACAAGGTCCTCCCTCAGTCCCGATCCTCACCACACCTTGCCCCACCCCCACAACGTGTCTTTTTTTTGTCTAGTCCATATGGTTCAAATTCTTATGACGATATTAATTCAATCCCTTCTACTCCACGGTATGTACAAGGAAGCAACCTTGATGTGATCTTTGATCTGTTTGTCAAGTAATCCTCAGGATCCTTTGGTGACATGAATTAAAATGTTTCTTTCGTCAGTCGTTTCAGGTCCCCTCCTCTTGCTCTTCCCCTTGGGAGAAATTATTTTCTTAGTTCTTTGAGATGTACTGTCTAGTCAGTGCTAATTTGCCATTGCATTTCTACGTTGTTACAGGGTCGTGTACATATAGGGGTGTACCATACAGGGATGGGGCCGAGTGGTCGCCGGTCAAGTGCACCAAGTGCAGATGCGACAACGGCATGTCTCGCTGTTTCGTGGCGGACTGCCCACCGTTATTCTGTGGTCAGGTAAGTTGAATATCTGAAAAGGAGCCCGTATCATTTGTGTACTGTGCTCTTGGTTTTTCCTGTGCTCATCCCAAGCAGTTTGCCTGTTTCTTTTCTCCATAACCTGCTCTGCCAGGTACCCGAATAATCACTGCACCGTTAAACCCTGTGAGGTTGAACTGATTGCAGGATCCAATGTTTTTTCTCCCCCTGCCCTCACAGAATGAAGAAGCAGTAACTCCACCAGGCAAGTGCTGTCCTGAGTGCGTAGGACAGTCCTGTGAATTAGATGGCTTAATTTATAAAGTAAGTGCCGCTGCAACACATCCTCGTGAATGCGCTGTTCAATTTGTTTTTTTGGCAGCATTTTAGTCTGCCCGTGAATACTGGACATTCGTAATCTTTCATCCTTTTGCTATCTGGCTGGCAGAATGATTTTGAAGTTGGTGGGGCTGGTTTCAGAGCAACGACTAGTAAAATTGAAGGCAGTGAAATTTTTTACCCAAAATCGATCATCGATTTAAATGACAACAGTGAACATCCTTCCCACTACACTTCAAATTTTGAGAAAAAAGGTAACTCGAGCGAGCTGAAGTGTTGGGGGTCTAACCAGAAGTCATTCAACTTTGAGTGAGGTCATTTGATTTTGATCTGAAATTTTAAGTTAATTTGTAACTTTCTTCCGCATGTAAAAACCGTCATTTTGAAATCCCAGATTCTTTATATCAATTGGTCACCGGCTGTGCCCAGTTAAACTACTGGTGCTTATTCAACCAGCTATGTGTTATAAATGCAACCAAAGCAGTGAATAGACAACTGCCATTTTGGAACGTAGGTTAAAACACAGGTACAGATTTCCTGGAGAAATGGTGACCGGCTGTTGCATTTTTGGTGGGTTTTGTTTGTTTGTTTTTTTGGCAGGATGGGTCGCAGTGGCAAGCGGACCCTTGTACATATTGTAAATGCTACGCCGGCAGCATAGAGTGCAAGCAACTGCGCTGTGCACAAGACTTCACGTGTAGACAGGTACGTACATCCTCTCTCACGTCTCGGGCACAGCGATTCGGGGCTGGTGCTGGCTGTTCATTTCTCATATTTGCCAGTCTGAGCTGTGTTATCGGTAGCGCTTGGCCGTGGGTGGCTCGCCCCGTTGTCGGTTAAATATTGTGCGGTTAGGCACCTGCAAAAAATTGCAGCAAAAGTTGCACCACCTCTTGGAATATTTGAGCAGAAAGTCACGTGTTCAATGTTGCGGTCATTTATTGGACCAAGATTCGGCCCAGCTAACCCAATGAGAAAACAACATTGACAGGGGGCGAGGGGAGGCATGCCCCAACGAGATTTGTCCAGGATGGTAGATGCAAATGTGTTTACTGACATGCGTCACTGCTGTGATGTTAGAGATTCTTTTAACTTAGCATTGAGATTTTTATATGTCATTTGAAAGCAAGACTCCGGTATTTATTGCTAGTGATGTGACTGCTGAATCTCTGCTCTTTGGAAATAACAACAGGTCAGTTCATTTGGTCAGTCATCAAACAACTGCTTAACATTAAGTTATCTTTTTCTGTGGTTAATCATGGCTCAATAATGTCTGTGGTGTTTTTTTTTTGGTTTTTTTTTGGCCTCACAGGGAGAGAGGAAAGTCACCAAAGAGGAGCAGTGCTGTCCGGAGTGCGTGTCAGCTGAAGGTACATGCATGTCATAAAACAAACTCTTTCCTGACAGGAACCACTTCAAAATGTTGCCTTGCCTGGAGTTCAGGATGCCTTACAGGATGGGCCTTCCTGCAAGGGAGGGGGGGTGGGGACATGTTCTGTTTGTACCGTACCCTTTGCGTGTTTTACACGGTATCTTGGATTATGACGGCTCTGAAGGGACATCACAGTTATTCATATCACTCGGAAAGAAGTTTTGTGACAACAGTTGAAATGTTCTAGCAGGGCCACCGTACATAATACTCCAAAAATACTATTTTGTGTGATTTATATATCTGACACTTGCCCATAATTTTACAACTGGTTCATGACTCTTGACTGCAAGTATTGTATGCAGATCAGTGCTGTGTGTGTTGATTACTTCAAAAGATTTATTATCGCTTCAAATCTATAATAATTTATATGTGATATCTTTTAGTGAATTTATTAAGACCCTTGTTGAACATTCAAAGATGTTAGGTCAATCCAAAAATAAAGTCTTTTGCTGATTACTAATGTTAGCCAAATTCTTTCTGCTGGTTTTTTGTGCAGCCCCCTGCAATGATGTAGGTACGCTACGCTACAGTGGCGATGTGTGGAACGTCTCGGCCTGTGAGTTCTGCATATGTCAGCAGGGCAGGATAGACTGCTACGCGGCCGAGTGCGACAGGCTACGCTGTGAAGTGGTAAGAACTTGGAAATCAAATATCTATCGGGTCTCGTGTTGTCACCCCTGCATCACACTTCAGAGGGCTCTTAGGGTAGCAAACCACAGTAGTTCCTATCTTGTGGCAGACAAGATTGTATAGATCTTGCTGTCCGTCGCACAACCTGACCAGCCAAATCAAACATACCGTACAATTTTCACATACAGGCAAATATTTTCAGTCTGTCTTAATCAGGATACAAACATGTCTGTATTAATTACTTCATCATGGCTGGCTGAGCTTTAAATCTCCTCTGTCTTGTTGAGGGTTTTGTTCATAACTGCAAACAGTTCATCCCAAGAAATGCGAAAGTAACTTGCAGACTTTACGTTAAAAACTAGCGGGCGTTACGCTATGTTCTGACATTTTTCTTGTCTGGGTGTTTCAGGGTGAGTCTCTCGTACACAGAGAGGGCAGATGTTGCCCCGAGTGTGTCTCTCCCGTTGGCTACTGTGTTCACAACAGGATAACGTACACGGTGAGCTCTTATTATGTGTCCTTATACTGTGTCCAAGGGAACCTTTGACCTCCAGCTTCTGTCTGTCAGTTATGTTAAAGTTGTTATATTTAACATTTGCCAGATTAATTTTTGCCCTGATAACCTCTGCCTAATACTGCGTGCCGGGTACCAGGTTAAAAAAAAATTCAACCAGTGGTTTACAAGGGGTTGCCGATCAAACTTCGCTACTGATGTCCTCATGCAAATTTTATGGTTATGAAGTTTATTCTGTGTTTAATGTTTCCAATCAGAACGGTGACATATGGGAGCCCGACGACTGCCGGACCTGTGTGTGCGAGGCTGGCCACAGCAACTGTTTCAAAGTGGATTGTCCGCCCTGTGCGGGGGACCGCGTGCCTGTCGAGGTGGAAGGCCAATGCTGTCCGGACTGCATACTAGGTAGGGACACTTTCAACTGCGACACCACTGAGCTTGTTTACATGACAGGGGCTTCAAATGTGAAGGGGTATGGTTTTACTGATTGTAACAGTTAATTTTTTCGTTATTTCTAATTATATGTGTATTTACACCTGTGCTGAACCATCTCACACTCTCGCTTTCGGCCTCGAGCAGAAGCACCCCCTCGTTGGTTGAAAAGAGCAGCGTTGGGTCAGGAGTGTTCAGTTTGTTGGTAGTGATGCGACCAGCCAAGATCTTATATGTAGTGCCGTTAATCTTGCCTTGAAGAACATTAAGAGTGACAGTTACACGGTCATAGCTGTCTTCCGCTTCGATTCAATCAAGCACGATGAGGTAAATTTGAGCAATAGGAGGTGAAATAAGTATACCGGTACAGTTTGCTGCTCGTTTTACATTGACATGGAGTGAGCAAGATACCCACACTGTCTGCACGTGTAGCCAAAGGGGACCCTTGACCTATCCAGGTCACTCTTGAAACTTCTCTGGGGAAATAGGTTACGTCCGGGGTGGGATTTGCAGGCCTGAGGCTGCAGTGATTCCAAGCCTTTCCTCCCACGATGCCCGCTTTCCAGTTTTGGGGGGATTAAGGGACTAGGTTTGCCAATCTATCTTGGGTTACCGAGGGCCCCAGCTGTTACCCAATCGATTTCCCCTGGTCGGGCTCCAGGGTGCGATCAAGGAGTCAACGAGTTTATTTAAGAGGCAGTGAACCTGGGACCACGAAAGGTCACAAACGCTATCCACCGGAGCAACCACCTTTCCATGTACATTGCTTTCTGCATTGTAGGAACAGGTCTTGATGTTGTATGAATCATGTATGATCGCTTTCAATTTTTCTGATTTTTATTGGTATTCCAAATTTCTTGTTCTATTTATGGTTTTGTCCATTCTAAGTGTAGGGTTTGTTTTTTTTCCTTGTCATTTTTCTTCTGCGTAGCATCCGTAAAATGTAAGAACAAATCAGAAGAGACTGTTAAAGATTGGGCCTGTGCTGGGTACCTGGGTACCCGCCCGTCAATTTCAAAACCCGGTTCCATTTTTCCGGGCCGGGTACCCAGTTCTAAAATTACCCGCAAATGCACACCCCTATTAAAGATTGAAGAATATCTCATGCAGTCAGATAGAGCTCTTGGCTGGTTCTCGGCCCATTTCTGCTCACCATGTGAATTTGCTGAGAACTGTATGATGCCATGTAGCCAGCTGACTTGCATTGGACCAACTGACCTTCATTGTGTGTACGAATTTACATGAACATTGCTTTTTGTCGTTCAGTTCAGTGTCGTCCTGAGTGCCTGACGTGCGACGCCCGGGGCTGCCTCACCTGCAGGAACCAGAGGCTGGTCCAAAATGGACGCTGTGTGGACTCCTGCGATATCGGCTTCTACAAAGCCTCTCAAACGTTATGCCAAGGTGAGACATGAAATGCTGGTGTCCCTCCACTAGTTACGAGGCTTTCTGGTTTTTCTTTATCCTGCCGAAATGTGTACTTGACCACATCAAACTATTAGATCCTGAAGTCATTGTTTTTGTCCCAGAGTGATCAGGATTGCTTTCATTAAAGGTTTCCAGTTCTTACGCTTAAGTTCTTAAGTTCTTACGCTGCGTTGGTTGGGTTCCCCCAATCTGGCCATTGAATGCTATCGTTGGCATTATGATTGTGCAGAAGCCTGTGCTTTTGATTTTCAGTCCCCAAAAAATAGGTCGGTTTGCAATTTTGTCTCGGTAGCTTGCCATGAAACCTGCCTGTCGTGTACCGCTGGCACTGAGTTCCACTGCCTGACCTGCGCCGATACGTTATTACTGAAGTGGAGCCAGTGCATTGTCGACTGTGGCAGCGGATTCTTCGAACAGGACGGAATCTGCATCGGTAAGAGGTTGCCTATTTCTAAAAGGCTACCGCAATTGGACTGTCACAGAGTGTGAACAATATGCCATAAAAATCTGGTTGGAAATGCATTCCTTGGGTGTCACTGTACTGTATTTAAGCACAGTTTATTTTCTGAGTGCATATTTAACCCTAACAGTCCTAAATCCTCCAATTTCAATTTGAAGCTCTCCACAGCCATACGCTCTCTCTCTTCTCAGTTTTAGAGTGATCACTCGATCACGTTCAGTTGTGTAGAGAATGTTGTGCCACTTTAATAATTAGAAGAAATCGTGCAAGTGCATGGTTTAAATTCAATCGCTGATAATATCGGAGGTAATAATCATGTGATCAAGTTAATCTTTGAGCCTATTTTGCATATCTACTCAGCTACAAAAATCAGCACCTCTCAGATGTTTTTACCGAGAAATATATTAACTGTCTATGTATTGGGGAGGGGGGACTATGGGAGGAACTAGTATTGTTAGCTTTTACTGGGGTAAATTTGACTCTTTGACGTGGATGTTGCAGAATGCCACTCGAGCTGTCAGGAATGCACAGGACCCAGAAAGTCAGATTGTTTGGTCTGCTCTAACTCGACCCATGTCATCAGGAGGAACAGCTGCGTGCCCGAATGTGGCCAAGAGTACTATCTCCAAGGCAATTACTGCTATCGTGAGTATCCATTTGGAGATTTTCAAGTCGAGGTGTTTTTATTCAGGTAACTTGGAGAGTAATGTGAAACATGTAACGACGTTTAGCCTCAAGGCTGTTCTTGATTAAGTAGACCGGAGGCTTATCAGGCAGTGGGAATGAGTAGTCATTACTGCGGTGATACGTGCGCTGTCAACAGTGGCCAACTCTTCTAGTCAAAATCCTTCAACTATGATGAAGATTCATGTAAAACCTTCTGACCCAACTCACTAAGTTTGAAAAAGATTTGCATGATGTGAAAAGCTCAACAAGTTGTTCGTAATTAACTCTGACAGTTAAAACCAGACATTGAAAGAGAACAAGTATAAAGAAGTTACAGTGCACGGCTTGTATTTGAAAGAAATTTGTATGCTGCATTTCTTGGCAGCAAAAATCTGCTTGACAGTAGAAATCTCTCTGTCACCTGCTTATTCATTCCTTTAGAAAGTAATGGTATTAAAAAGCACGAGTGATTCATTGATCGGCGAGACAACTCCACCCAGCTAGACCCTTCATGGGTGAAACAGAAATGACAGACGCCGTCAAACTTGCATATTACATTGGGCATACCAGTGATGGTCCATGTCAAGCTCATATGTAGATCCTGCAAGGGTTAAGAAGACAGGTGCTGTTGTGTTTGGGACATCTGAACATTTGAGAAGCCACCTGTGAATTGCAGTGTTGTTGTCGAGACCACTTAAGACCTTCACAAGACCACACAAGACCAACACAAGACCTCCAGTCTGAATTCAAGTCACAAGCTACTCAAATGAACTGCAACAAAAGCATTCCTTTGTCATTGTTCACCCTGTTACTATCGACTGGTCTTGTGCATGGCCTTGCGATGGTCCTGACTAGGTCCCCTGACTAGTGAATTGTGACTAGAATAAAGTGACTCATGTTTCTCTTGTTGGAGTCCCTGCTTGAGGAGATATTGATCTGCATGACATTGAGCCCTTTTGACCCAAACGGAAGACAATTTACAATGTAAAAATCTCACAGATTAAAGCTCATTGTGAAAATGCCGTCTGATGATGTCTTTCAGGCTTATCCTCTGGACGCTGCTCTTATTTTGTTCAAGACAAGTGCGGGTCTGTGCCTTCCATGAAATCGGGCGGACTTGCTCTTTGGTGTTTGTGCTGACATTGTTTGAAATGCAGCCATTGTCTTGTACACTGTGATAATTCTGGTAAAGATGATCTTGTACAACATGCAAAGGCAGCTTTCTGGGCTTTAAAGGTCAACTTGAAAGGCTGAAATCCTTTTTGCCATGGTTAAAAAAAAGAAAAAAATAGTCGGACTCCTGCACTGAGCACTTGTAAGCAGGAGTTTGACTCAAGTGAATGTGTCTGAAGAGAATTGTGGAGAAAAATGAGTCATTATAGTCAATGTGGAAGTCACTGCAAAAAATGCTGTCCGGCCTTGATTGGGGACGAGAAACTCGTGGAGCTTGCAAAAACCTTCAATCAGAGTGGGAAGTGGGCTATTTACTGTCCGTGTGAAGTGGGCATTGCTCGCTCTCTTGTAGGGCTTGACCCAAGTGTAATTCATGTTTGACCATGGTGCCAGCTCACAGGAAACCCCTTTCTTGCCAAGGGGTGCCCCGTGAGTCACCCCTGGAGTTCCGTCCAGCTTGCTAATGGGGTAGGGGGCTTTTCCTTCATTATTCATTGCCGATCAACAGATAATTCAACAGAGTTCATTCAGAAGAGTTTACAAGTTGACAATGAGTTGTCAACAGGCATATGAAATATGTGGCCCATCATTCCAAAACCAGGTTGATGGCTTCTGAGCTGCGTATCTGGAAAATGACACCAGCATCCCTGTGAACCATGTCACTTCCACAACTTTCTCTGCTCGTGACCACCAAAGCCTTCTGCCGAAAAAATTTACACCATGAATCATGTTGAAGTATAAAAACTAAAGCCAAAGAGAGGAATTGTCACACATCAAAATTACCAACTTCAGCTTGGATTGGAATGATGCCATGACATTTGGGGAAACTTTCGTCGGAAAAGTTGATCTTGCTGTTACAAGCACATTTATTTCCAACACGACAGGATCACTCCTTAAAAAGATTTACAAGAGCAACATATAAACCCTTTGCTGTTGAGTTCTTCAAGCAGTTTGGAAGTCTGAATAAAAACCCTGATGGTGGACCAAATGTGACCCATACCAGGCTCTTTGGCAAAGGCAGCCTCAGCGGTAGTGAAATCCTCCTTGTACATTGTATTTTTCCTCGCTAACGCTCAAAGTAAACCCTGCATGAATCATCCAATCTGAGAAGTGTATAACATTCCACAGTCTGTGAGTTGCAAAAGTTGTTGAAAGGGCACCTGTTGAACCAAAACTCCTGGATTGCCGGTAATGACAAAACTACTCTGGAGTTGGACGTGTGTGCAGTAATTTCCTTGTACAGGCTTCAATTTTCTTGTTGATCTGGACCGTTTGATGCATGGGAATCAATAGAATCGATGTTGCGTGCTTCCCCAAAGGCCGGAAGACACCAGGAAGTCATTAGCACCAGCTCTATTACATCAAATCTATGGATGATAATCCTGAATTGCCTTGCTACACAAGGCCTTGTACTTTTTGAGGTTGGTGCTGAACCACAAGGTCTTCCCAGATATAACTGTGATTTACATTTTTGTGGTCGATGATGTTTGTTCAGTACGATTTGGGACCATTTTGTGTATGTACTAAGTAGGGTTGAAAGGCAGAAGATTGTATTTCAGGCAAGTAAGTCATGACAGCTTCCAAAAACTGTTTACTTGATTGTCGCAAGTTATGAACAAACCAGAATGAATGTGTTCTCCAATAAATATAAGGTCAGGAATTTGGCCCTCATGGTTTACACTTTGGTAGGACATTGAAATTTCCACCTTTGCAGTTCCAATCGCAAACCAACAGAAAGGTTGGATCTTTCCAGCAAAAGACAAACCCCTCAAACCCAACAAATCAGGCAGTTGCCAGTTCAAGCTTTCTTTCAGGAGGGGCCACAACTTTCATATACCAAATTGTAGCCTGAAAATTGAACCAGAATTGTATTGACTTTGCTTTTATTGGCAACCAATGAACATCGTGGCCACAAGCTTCAATTAGATTCATTGAATTATGCAAGTTCCAGAGGTATAATGCATTACAGTTGTTGGAAGATTGCCAAAATGATCACTGAGATATAAATGGCTCTCTGCCCTTTAAAATTAGTGGCTTGTCTGGTGCCGTGATCCATTTTGTTTGTCATTAACTTTGCTGTAGCCACAGTTGGAATTCATGGACAATTATGAAATGCCTCTTTATGATTTGAGAAGACAAGCACAGTAGACAGGAAGTCACCTTCACAGTGGACTGACTCACAATGCCATAACGACTTCACTGGTCTGGACAGACGGTCTGTCGGGAATGACGAGGGTGTCTGCCCGCCCAAAACATCGTCGGCAAACTTTCCATTATCAACACCATTAGACCGATGCTGGCGGACAATTAATTAATGGCCACGACCAGTCTTCTTGCAGTTAATGGAACTTCAAGTTGTCTGTGCAGAGTTTCAAATCCAAATCAAAAGGAAAAGATCTTAATTTGAACCCTTTTCCCTGTTTTGGGAGGGATGAAATTCGATGGTTTGCATTTCACCAAGATGTTGTTTCATTTGGATGGAAGATCTTGATGGCTGAGTTGAAAAGAAGCAAGGAATGGTGTCACTGTACAGTGGCATATCCAGGTTTTGAGTCAGTGGGGGGGGTTACTGTAAGGATTCACAGGTATCATGCATGTAGAACAGATTAACATCTGTGCACATGGCTCACCCATCTTAATCTCGTCTTGAAGGTTTTAACCAAACACAGTCTTGTCAGAAGGAAAATGTCATAAACCCTTTGGTGTTCCAGGGGAAGTTTCTTCAGACCCACATGATTTTTTTTTTCCATGTTCATTCCCGCGGGAATTCTACCCCCAAATCAAATGTGTTTCCCGCTCTGGTTTGCCGAACTTCCTGCACTGTCTAGACCATCGTTAAAGCACAGGATGGTTGGAGTTCGTGACTGGCTGGCTACTTTTCCCAGTTTCCCCCCCCCCCAATTTTTACATTTAGCTTTGCAGTGTCATCTCCGAAGAAGAGTAGTCAGTTTTCATCATGTAGGATGCTCTATCAACTTGCCAGTTAACACGTCAGATTTTGATGGTCACTGGTAAACCAATTGGAAGTGGAGGAAATAGGGATGTAAATAATCAGTCGTAGGTATTTCTGCTAGTGTCCATCAGCCGCTCCCACTTTTGCTATTGTCAGGCAATTACCCTCACCTGGCCTATCCTCCCCTCAGGCTAGTTCCAAGCATGCTCTGCCATTATCCTCACTCTAGAAGGGCAGAGATTTGGGTAGAATGACCATCGATCTAACCCTCGCTGCACTCCGGGCTGGACTCACATGTACTTAACCTCTTCATTGAATATTTTCTCCCCTTAATTTCACACTCCTTCCTTTGTTGGGCACACTCTTGTCTGATACTAAAAGTTGCAGTCTCGTTTTTTTTGTCTTAACTCGGCTTGTGAATCTGTTGTTCTTCATCCTAACTTCTTATTCTGTTGTTCAAAATCCCATGTTGTAGATTGCAGCTGTAGACCAAAGCTTAGCGTAGAACTCACGTCTGCAATCATTTCTGCCCCTACTTATTGCCGCGATATTTTTCTCTTCTCTCACAGCCTGCGAACCGTCATGTTTTTCCTGTCACTATGACAACCCCCGGTGCATCCTCTGCCCAGCCAATCAGCTCCTTCGGGACGGCAGCTGCGTGACCGAGTGTGGCGCCGGCTTCTATCAGGCCAGCAGTACTCACTGTGAAGGTGAGACACGTTTCTTTCCAAAATTGGAAACCGTGCATGTAGGCGTTCCCTGTCTGCTTGGAAATGTGCCAAGTGAAATGATTCCTCCATACAGTTCATTTTTATAACTAACAGTTTGGGCATCGAAACATTTGTGAAAGTTTTCCTTGGAAATAATCCCTCTTTTGTTGCTGCCAGCATTGAAAATTTGCTCTTCTCACAACTTGCGGGGATACCACCATTTGAAAGGGAAGATCTGCAAAATTATGAAAATGTTTTTTTGTCCAGTATTACCCATTTTAATTTCAAGTTATTGCCATTTTAGAAGAATTGAATTGAACATTTTAGTAAAATTAGAGTGAAAACTTCATTTAGGTTCAGATTTGTTGGTTTTGTTGTGTATTGGTTTCGGTTTCTTTTTGTAATTTTCTTTCCTGAAGTGAGACTTTTCTAACTTAAAGTAAGTATGACACTGCAATGAAATATCCAAGGAGTTTTACAGTGCATCAAACGTAAGTTTATTTCATGCCATTTCAATCGGTCCTTTTTAATCCAGAAGTCACTTTTGCCGCGTAAGACTCATTTGAGCTCAGCAAGTTACAGGTCTGCTACTCGTAAACGTCATTGCCTGTTGTTGCATTCTTGGGAAGTCGGACCTCACAATTTAAACAACCCCAAGTGATACCTTTCCATTTTCCAGTTCTTAACCCTCTTTTTGCTTGCATGCAATTCTTGTCCAGCTTGCCACCACACCTGTCAGTACTGTAGGGGGCCCAGCATCTACGAGTGCATGGCCTGTGATGAGCCGTTCCACCTGCAAGACGGCCAGTGCCTCTACAACTGCTCCAATGGGTTCTTTGATAACGAGAACACCTGTACACGTGAGTATAATGAGCAACCAGCTCTACCAAAAGGAGGGCTAGGCAGTGAAAATGAGTGAGATAGGTGACAGGCTCTATCAAAATGAAGACAAAGTCAAATGGAGCTTCAGCACATTTTAGGTGACTGGCTCCATCAAAATAGCGTTTAAGCAAAGTACACAAGAATGCCAGCACACGTTAGTTTTGATAAAGTGACCAGCTTCCACAAAATGAGGAATAAGTAAAGAACAGTGTGCGGGAAGCTCCACGGCACATTGGAAATGAAAGAATCTTTGTTAGGTAAAATAGACCTGACATCAATTTCTCAATGACTGACATTTTTGCTTAGTCCATAATTTTGCCAAGTAGTGCTTCCTACCTCATGGCTCTGGGTGAAATTGGGCCTGGTTCCGTGAACTCTGGTCCTAAGAATAGAAATCAGACAGTCTGGCTTCGAATCTCCACCCTATCTCCTTACCGTCTCCCTGTCTCTCTTTCTCTCACCCCTTCCAGCCTGCCACCCCAGCTGCCGTACCTGCCTGGGGCCGGCTGCCGATGACTGCTCGTCCTGTCGGGACGCCTCCCAAGTGGTTCAGGGCCGGCCTCCTTTCTACGACGTCATCACGGGGCCCTGCACCGCCCGCTGCCAGGAGAGCTTCTATGCGGACATCCACGGCATCTGCATACGTAAGTCCTGCCATTTCCTGGTAGACTGGCCCCCGAGCAGCCTTCCCTGTATGAGTTGACATTCCCGTGACTGACATGTCCTGTGTTATATGGAATACACCCCTGAAGGGGACATGCACCGAATCAGAGACTCTTGGCACTGGAGAGCTCTTTAAAGAGGATTTGATTATAAATGTAGGGTACAAAAAAACCACATGACGAAGTCCCATCACAAAACATTTGGACAGTTCCTAAAATCTGTCTGACCCACTTAGCAAAGTTCTATTTTCACCTGATCTTAATTTTCAAGTCCTCGTCAAGACCACTTTTGAAAAGACAGTTCAAAGTTTGTTACCTCCTTTTTTTTCCTCCCTGTGTTCATGTGCCTTAGTAGAATACACGTGACTCATCAGAATAAACTGCACATGCTGTGAGATCAACAGATCAAGGACAGATAGTCTTGTGTGAATAACAGTACATTATGGCAAAGGAATAATAATAATTGAAAAAAAAAAAATCAGTTATTGATATTGTGTCATCGGACCCCTCTTTTTTTGCTAGCTTGCAACCCAACCTGCTTGACCTGCACCGGTCAGTCCATCAACAGCTGTACGTCGTGTAGGCCACCCTTACTGCTCCAAAATGGCCGATGTGAGAAACAGTGCTCGGACGGCCAGTACTCCGAAAACTCCATGTGTTTAGGTAAAGAGATGAGCGCCACAAATGATCAAGTTCACGGTTGTTGGCTGTTGATGTCCCTCTGGAAGATACTTTACCACAGTAGTCTCTCCGGACTTGGTGTATTGACCAGCCCATGAGGCATCCCTGTAGGAATGGGATGAGTTTTGTGGGCAGCTTGTATGCTCTTAAACTTTGAGTTTGGATTTAAAAGTTCTAGAACTGGTCATCTTTAGCGAGTAGCATGTCCTTGAGAAGGATACGTCACCACAATCACTTTCCTTTCTGTCATGGAGTAAATGGTAAACGTGAGGTTGTCTTTTTCTGTGCATTGGATTAGTTTTTATTTCATGCATTACAGGACTGAATGGAATGTTCATCCTGACTGGAAAAAAAGGTGGTCCTGTGAGATGATTTCCCTCACAAAAAAGTTTTGACTTCCCTTGAAAGATTGAGATACAGGTCACAGTGGTCATAAAATCCACATTTTGCTTAACTGTCGATACCGCAATGTCCGTTTTGATTTTTTTTTCCCGATTCCATCCCCGTTTTTGATATTGCAGATTGCCACCCAAGTTGTCGGGTGTGTTTCGGCCCCGCCCCCAATCAGTGCCTGGCCTGTCACCAGGGCGACACGCTGCAGCTGGGTACCTGCAGTGCCGGCTGCCCGAGCTCACAGTTTGCCAACGACTTTGGTGTCTGCCAAGGTAAAGTAAAGTTGCCCCATTCTGATCAAACACATAGCAGAAGAACGGACTTGAAGATGAGCCTCCTCAACTTTCTGCTTTTGTGGTTTTGCACCTTTTTCCTTTTCATTTCTGTTCTGTCGTCGGTAGCGATTACTCCTTAGACCACACCTGTCGCTTTTTCAATATCATCAGCAGGACACCTTTAAGTCCGGTGTCGGGTGGTTGAAACATGTCCCGTTTGTACACAAAGAGTGATGCCATGAATTGTTTTTCAAGTTCGTTCTTGAAACCCCACTTGAAATGGGCAGCTCGCCCTATTATTGCAAATTCTCATCCTCCTCGAGTACTTGATACTGTTGTTGAAGAGACTTTGAAGTGCAGAGCACTTGTCTGACATAATTGCCTTCAGATATTTACACAGAAATTTGCTGCGAAGTGCTAATCACAGTACCGATCCACACTGACAATTTCGGTGTTTAAATAAAGGTTCTTAGCAGCTTCTCACCTCCGGATGCATCTTATAAATAGTAGCAGGATGCGCCGTAAGACTGTCGGGGGTCTGTCTCTACCTGAAATAAGTGTCTCAAGTTGGAAGACGTCTTTCGCCACCCCCTCCCTGTATTTTGAGTCAGCTGTTTTGACTAGACAAGATCAGTGGTCCAGCGTGCATGACTGTGTGTGTGATTTCCGGGGGAAAAGGAATAAATGTATGCGATGCTGTGAGGATTAGTGTAAATTACTGAGCAGGCTCCGCCAAAACAAGGATTGAACGAGGAAATTCAAGATGAAATTCAGTTGTGTTCTGTGGGAAATGGGTGTTGGCTTTATAACATTTTACCCAAGATTTTCAGTGTGGACAAAGTGAATGTATGCACCGACAGTAAGCAGAAAGGAGTAGAGTCCTTGATTCATTTGTTAACGCGATCCCAATAGTACATGATTAACGCGGTAATTTCCTCAGATTTGATGAGGTCCTTGTCACCGCTTACGCTGAATCACATCGTTTCCTGAAATTTCACATCTGCTTTACATTCGGCTGGCACTGCCCAAGCGAAATGTTATCATCATGGGGTTTGTCAGATCTGATTAAAAAAACAAAAACCTCTCGGACAAATCACAAGGCCGCTTGAACGATCCTGGGATCTGAGAGTAGACAGATTTCTTGGAAGATTAATGCAAGGATGAAGTCCAGACATTGAGATTAAGTGTGGAGTCATTTTTCCAGAAAGTGTAACAACTTTCCCCAATCGGGAAGTCACTGTCGGAGCATTAAAAGATAGCTGACATCACCGCCGATTTCTCTCTGCTCTGAGGATGTAGGAGATAAAGACTTAATCTTGCAATATTTGTTTTGCATTAAGAACATATCTTTTGGAGAGTTCTCAGCCGGAATATACCACTAAACACGTGTGTATTTGACAAAGGGCCGACAGGTCAAGTCAGAATTGCCTCGACTGGCATTTAAACATGCTAATTCCTCATTAGCTTTATACGCACATGAAAATCTGAGAAGTATGCATTGAACGTGGCTGTTGTACAGGGCAAGTGTCGCTCCATGGGGGTGTTGAAAATTTGTGACCCGCTTTGCAAAAAAGGTTATTAAGTTGCGCAGTGCCAAAACATGTAATGGCCTGTTCTGTTTCGAGAGGGCAAAATTTCTTCAAAAATGTGATTTTGTGGTTTTTCCTTTAATAGCTTCTATGATATTTATATTTTCAGAATTTGTGACTACAAACATGGATACTGATGAATAAAGATGAAAAATTGATCATTCAGTAGGAAATTGTTCATAGCATTGTGTTTCAGAGTGCTACACTTTCTGAGCTTTTTCTCAAAAAGTACTTTTATTAAATCCGAAAATGTGGCTATACAAGTGTCTCTGTATTTCTGAAATGCAGTGCACTACAGGGATCATTCATATATCAAATTGTAGCTTTCGATGGACAGAATCGGGCCACATCAAAGCCTCATAACCTGAATCTGGCGACTTATCACCCATTTTGCTAGAGCCGGTCACATATGAGGTTGCAGGGTCAGAAATACCGTGCAAATACTATTCAAATGACTTGTGAACCAGCGTCTGTGGCGTTTGGCCGTATGGCAAAAGTTCAAGTTGGCAGCTGTGTCTTGCCCCTTTCAGAAGTCCAAATTTTGGGCCGAAAATAAGACTTGGCAAGTGGTTAAACCTTCCTCCTTCAGTGTCTCCATTTTCTCGTCGCCTTTCTTTCAGATTGCGACTCGGCCTGCGGCACCTGCTTTGCCGCCGGGGAGGGGTTGGAGAGCAGCACGTGCACAGAGTGCGCGGACACCGGCGTCTACCCCTTGGGGGACACCTGCGTGTCCGAGTGCGGCATCGGCCACTTCCTGGAGGCCGGGACCAACATGTGCAAAGGTTGGTCACAAGTTACGCGTCAGGGAACGAGGTCCACTTGGCAGTGAAATGTAGGAAATTGTCACTCTGCAAAAATCAGGTTACCAGCCAAGACGTAATGCATTATGTATTGGTTGTTAGCAATATTCTGCTGATCTGTGCTCATTAGGTGTGTGTGCTGTGTACTGAACTTAAAAGAGTTCATTAAGTGAGCTTGGGTCCTGATGTAGAACATTGTGGTCAGGCAAGGAACTTTATCACCAGTGCACTGGGTTCCTTGCTTTGAAATGAGATATGTCAAAAAATGTCTTGTCTGGCTTGAAATTTCTTCCTGCATTCTGACTCCCTGTTGCATGCCTGAGAAATGTTAGGAAGATTTCACTGAAGAAATTCTAGAGATTTGATATTGTATCCCTGGCATCATTGGATATTCACTTGGTTGGAAGATTTCTGTTGCTCACACCAGAGTGCCTGGTTGCCTGTGGGCTATTCTTTGAGTCAACACTGAACAGATTGCGTGCTGAAAAGTTTCAAATATGATGATTTTTCCATGCCACCACAGAGATTGACCTTAAGTATTTCCCAAACTTGTTTATTTTTAAAAATCTTCTGCATCCAACGTTTTGCGCTGAAAAATATTCAAACTTTGAAATTGTTCTTATCTAGAAATGTTAAAGGGCATATATCAAAATCCAGTTTTGACCACATGAAATGGCTGAGAAGGCAACATCACAAAGAGTCTATGAAAAGTGTTCACATTCAAACCAATCTAATCTTTGGACACGTGTTATCTGTCATCCACAGCGTGTCACATATCTTGTCGCACCTGTGACGGTCCGAGTGTCTTTGACTGCTCCACCTGCTACTCTGGCATCGTCCTGACACACAACGGCCTGTGCTCGTCCAAGTGCTACGGCGGTTACTACGACGACGGTGGGGTCTGTAAAGGTGAGAGCCAGCTCTCTCTTCCTTCTAAGGGTTGCTGGTTGTTACAATGTCGCTCATGGAACAATTGGCAAAAACGCCTTGATTATTGAATGTTACTTGACACAAAGTTGACAATCTTTGCTATGTAAGAAATTGCCTCTTTACACAGAAATACAGGCAGAGTAGTATTTCCCTGGCCGCATGTGTGTGTACTTAACTCACTCATTAATGTGGACGTTGGTGTTTACTTTTCAAACCTTGAAAGCTGTAGAGTACCGAAGTAACTACATTAGGCGTACAACTGTGCGCAAAAGGCATTAGTGTGCGAACCAGGGCGTAAACCAGCACACGCGCATACTCCCATTCGTTTCCACTACACTTCCTGGTTCAAAACTACATCGCACTTTGGAAGACCAGAGAATGTTTTTTCCCATAATCTCCCAGGCTTTGTTGATGACTGCCCGCCCGTCTTTCTCGCCTTTTTGTTTTTTAGCCTGCCAGGCCAACTGTCTAGAGTGCGAGAGTCCCTATGAGTGCCTGGTGTGCCGCAACCCAAACGACGTGCTGCAGTTCGGGGAGTGCTCGCCGTACTGCGCCGATCAGTACTACCTGGACCCCGTCACCCGACTCTGTCAAGGTGGGTACCAGCTGTTACCATTGCCAGTGTGGCATGGACTCGGGGGAAAGATCGGCGATCTTTCAAAAGGGGATAGATTGGCTGAGTGCTTAAAGTCCACTTTTTCTGTTGAGGTTTTGTAGCAAAATACAGAGTTCCAAGGCTTGTAAGTTGTATAACATTATTTCAAGAAAAAAATGTTGTTTTTCCAGTGCAGTAGCATTTATGGTAGCCAATCCTGTTTTGTTTGCAACCGTTCCAGAGTGCGACTGGAGTTGCAACGCCTGCAGCGGCCCCACGGCCAGAGACTGTACTCTGTGCATGGAGAACCTGATGCTGAAGGATGGAGCCTGTGTCTCTGCCTGCAACGAAGGCTACTATGTGTTTCTTGGGGAGTGTAGAGGTCAGGGTTCAAAGTTCATTCACAGGATAGTCCAGAATCACTTTGAACTAGAAAGAAGTGTTGCCTTGTAAATTTCTGTTAACGTTCTTTCGGGATACCGTGCAATTGTTCCCGATGAAAATGAGACTTAGCTTCTCTTACATGACTGTGTTACGCTGGGTGTGTACGGCTCAGCAGTAATCTCTGTTCAGCCACATCCCATGTTACCTTTGGATGAAGAAAGGTCATCCGTATTGTCAATTAATCAAACACCTCCATGCGGTCCTATCTTAATCAGAATGCGGTGAGGACTGCAAGACTTGCAGTAGTCCAGGGGTCTGCACCTCCTGTCAGCCCCCGCGGCTCCTCCTGGGAGATCAGTGTGTCACTCACTGCGGCGTGAGTTACTACAGCGACTACGGCCGACACGTCTGCCGAGGTAAAGTTGCCCAGGTCACTAATCAAGATGAAAAGTTCTGTAAAGCAATAGTTGCTCATTGTGAAGTTTGTAGGAACCGGCAATACTTGTCACCCAGTTAATGGTCATTTTCACCCGAGTTACGTATCCAAACGAAAGAGCTGACTTATCCATCTTTCTATTTGCAAACTGATTCAAGATTACTGAAAAGAAAGGGGCATAAAGGCTGCATCCAAGTCTGTTGTCTAGAGCTAGGTCCAGGACTTCACTCTATTGAAAAATATGCAGAGACGCGTAGACTATAGACCTAGCCGTAGCTCTGGAAGCCCGTTTCAGACATGGCTTATAACTCATTTTCTAGGAGCCAGTCCCATTTTGTTCCGTTTCTGTTCATTCTTTGGCTCTTTCCTGTTTCTTGATAAGCAAAGACACCTCAAGGCCCGACACGTTGGATTACCTTTTCTTTGCTGCCCCTCCCCCCCCCCACAGCTTGCCCATGGAACTGTCTGGAGTGTAGCACCCCAGACCAGTGCACCAACTGCGCCTCGGGTTCCTTCCTCCTCAGGGGCAGCTGCGAGGCTGACTGCCCCTCCGGTTACTTCACCAACCCGCAACTGAACATCTGCGAAGGTAAAGAAGATCAAAGACCCGTTTGCCCGTCCCTTTTTTCGTGCTGCCTGTTCACATATATACTGACTTGCTAAATGCAATTGGCATTCACTTTAGTTTCAACTCAGTCCTTGAACATTTTCAAGGTTCACTCTGTTAATTTGTAATTACCGGTTTTGCCCTTACACTGACTATGTTCATAACACGGTATAGTCAGTATTTATGTGAGAGCTTCTTAAAAAGTTCCACAAGCTCACTCGGATGAGACTCAAACCCACAATCTCTTGCTTACTAGTGCAGACATCTTAACCACTCGACCACCGAGCTTGCCGGGGTTGACTGGTTGGTCTGAGCTCGTGAGGGCAGAGGTTATTAAACCCCAGCCATTTGTGCCTGATGTGGCAACATCAGGCTAGTGTACTCCCCAGGGAGCTGAGGTGGTTTCAGGAATGCTCAGATGTTGTGAGCCCAGTGTACAGGGATAATGATAGTATATCAGCACTTTTGAATTACGGATGCTGTTAGATACTGCGAACCTTATAAAAGCTTTGATATTATTATTCTAAGTGTGCGGGATTAGTTGCCATTTGACCAAGCTTTTGTTCCTTAATTGCAGCTAATCTTTACCCGCCAACGCTTTTTGTCAACGGCACCTTGAACAGCGAGATAGGAGGGACCACCGTCCTGGATACATCTTTCATCACAGCCTACGACCCAGACACTGCCTCTAAGGACTTGACCTTTGTCCTGATCAGCCCACCCACCAATGGTGAGCTGATCAAGATCCAGCGGGGCGTGGATGCCACGCTGGCCGCCGGTGACTACTTCACCTTCCCCGAGCTGGATCAGGGCAGTGTGCGCTTCGTCCATGACCGTCGCCAGCAGCTGACGGGGTTCTTCACCCTGAAGGTCGGTGACCGACAGTTCCAGTCTCCCCCCGAGGACATCGGCATCGTCGTCTTGTCCCCATTGGCCCCATATGTCACCCGCAACCAGCCGCTGGTCGTGGAGGAAGGAGAGATGGGCAGGATTGCCTCAGACGCCAATCTGCACATCCGCGACGAGGACAACCCAGAGATGGTGACCATCACGGCCATTGAGGGGCCGCGGCACGGCCGGCTGATCAAGTTGCCGGACAGGAGCCGTGCCAAGACATTCACGATCAATGACCTCGTGGCCGGGAACATCCGCTATGTCCACGACGGAAGCGAGACCCAGTACGATGCCATCGCCTTCCAAGTAACAGACGGCCACAATGTGATCAATGTATTGTTCTACATCCAGATTAATCCGAATGTAAGTGTACCAACCAGAGAACCTCTCTCAACCCCCATTCTATTGATGGATTGGGATCCCACTTCGAGGGCGCTGAATTTTATTCCCAAGGAAGCCATTTTAATTCTATTCATTGAATCTATTTTATAAATTATTAACTGTTGAATAGAACGATATTTGGCCTGGGAATTTTAGTTTATTCGTTCATGGATGCTATCAAGTTCCCAAAAGGAAGAGTTCGCCTTGCTTTCAATTTCAGTAATGGCTGATTCATGCATAAGGGTCCATTAAGGTCATAACCTGTTGGACTGGGCTTGGTCTCGTGAGTTTTCCTCGGAATGAACTTGCTCGTGGGAGTGAAAGGAGTGCAGGTGTCATCAGGTCATTTGTAATCAAAGAGGAAATGGACGATAAATTTCACCTCGTGATAATTGGTATTTGTTTACTGTTTATTTGTGTTCCGTTCAGGACAACAAAGGGCCCATCCTGATCAACAACGTCCTGATGCGGGTCCGGGAGGGGGACCTTATTCCCATCACGTCCGATCACCTGAAGGCCTTCGACGTCGACTCACCCAACAACGAGCTGATGTTTACCCTCACCCCACCCAAGGGCAACCCGCGCAGTGGTAAGCTGGAGCCACTCATTCTGGACTTGCTGAAATGCTGCTAGACACAGCCCGTTGTTTAAAGAGCACCTTCAAGGAAAACATGTTTTCGCTGATTTGATCCGTTCAAATAAATATATAAGCATCCAAATCGAACCCAGTGTCAATTGTCTTCAGAGCTCAACTATAACAAGCTTAAAAGGTTTTTTTTTCTGTTCATGCCAAGATGCAAATTCTGAACGTTGATTGCTTCATTCGGAGAAAACATAGAAAACGAGAGGAACTAGTTCGTAGGGATAAACCCTTTGAATGTTAAACAATGGCTACAAACAATAGCTACATGCAAAATCAGAGAAAACATGTTTTCCTCAGAGGTGCCCTTTAATTTTGTGCCTGAGATTCATGTCTGCAGAAATTGAGCGTCATTTTTGATGGATCAGATGTAATTTCATAGGAATAGAGAAATGTTTACACGTAGCTGTCCCCCTATTTTGTTGAGTGTTTTCTGACATTGAGATTGCCCAGCAGTTCATTCAGGATTTTGCGTTTCTGACGAGATCTCATACATTAGATTTCATGACTTCCAGTTTCATATTTGAGGACAGCTGTTTGATGAATTGAAAACAAAAATAGACTGGAGCCCCTTTAGCCTAAACTTGGGTTAAGTTTGTGCCCCGCCCAAATAAGGTTGTATCTAATCAACCCTTTTGACCTTTTTTTTTTTTTAATCAGGTGACATTGTGATGGTCTTGCCCATTCCGGACGCGGGGGTGCCCTCAGGTTGGGAGGATATGCAGAATGGTTACATGATGCAACTTCTGGTCCGATTCGCCCAGGAAGACATCAACCAAGGCAGGGTCTACTACCGTCACTCTGGGGGCGAGGTCACCAGCGACTACTTCATGTTCGAGGTCAGTGTTTTGATCGGGTTTTCCCAACAGGGCCCGCGTTTGACTAAACTTGTCAGCAAGAAGTTTGCTTCTAGCCATTTTGAAAAAAAATCTTGATTTTGGGCGTATTGATGAGCCCTGGTTCACTTGTACCTAGGCTGTAGAGCGCCCTCTACTGTCTCTGCAAAGAGCAATTAGTCCACTCTCATTACTTGGATGTAATCACTTTGTCAGTCACTCACTTATTGTTTGTCTCTCTGCTTGTTTCTGAGCGCAGGTTGCGGACACAGCCCACAATGTTCTCAGTGACCAAGCCTTCAACATAGAGGTGCTCCCCAACAACGACGAACCGCCCCGGTTGGTGGCTGGCATTGTTGAACCACTGCTAATGCGGGTTAGTATGGCATCGTTGCATCATCAGTAGTCAGTAATCACAAATCAATAATCAGTAATCATTGATCAGCAATGAGTGGTCAGTGTTATCAGTTTGCAATAAAGCTGGCGTCCTCGTTGTGTGTATCAGAAAAGATGACCAATCAGCGATTATTTGTCAGTAACCATTAATCAATGATCTGTAATGAATTTGAAATGATATTGATATTCTTCCTTAATGTGCACATGGGACTTACCCCCGATTGCGTAATCATCACATTTAGCACTCCCAATTCTGAAACCAGATAATTAATTTAGTTTTCAAAGTGTAGAATACGTTATTTTCTATGCCTGCTTTCCAGTGCATTTCGCAAGCTTGCCTGAAGTTTTGCGAAGCGACCTTGTCCATTTCACTCACAGAGCCGTGGGTCTTCAAGGATGTGGCAAATGGTTTCTTCCCCTCCCCTTACGGAAAAAACACTTGAATATTTTGATCATCTCTGTCCAGTAGAAAGAGAATTTCATTTTGATTCGATTTTGGTTTGTTCCCAGGTCTTTGAGGGTGAAATCACGCCGATCACCAACACCCATCTGGCGTACACAGACGTGGACAGCCCAGACCCAGACCTGGTCTATAACATCACTACCCCGCTTCAGGTCAGCTGTCTACCCATTCGCCAAATTAATTTTTTGATTGTGTTTTTGAACAACTGCTATTGTTTTGATGTGTGCGTTTTGAGCTAACTGAGTTTCCCTGCACCAAGCATTTGAAGTGATAATATTTGTAAGGTTACTTTTCTGATCGGCAACAAACTCATCTCAGATCATCTGATGCAGTTTTTTAAAAGTACTTGATGTCGTGTGCTTTGTTATACAGATTGGTCAGGGCAGTATTGAGTATGTGGATCGGCCCTTCCAGCCCACGGATTTGTTCACGCAAGCCGACATCAACGCCCAGAAGATCATCTACCGTCCTCCCAACATCGACCTGGGACAGGAGCCATTATCCTTTAAGTTCTTCTTCACAGGTGAGTCATTGCTGATGCTGAGAAAGTTTATTCAATTATGGACCTTTAACATGGGGCAGCCATCTTGCTTTTTTACCACTCAAAGCCATGTAACCAAACTGAGGCTGGAAGGAAAGATAGTCTGTTCCCTTTCATCAGTATGTGAAGTTGTATAACTTTTGTCAGTGGGTCTACAGGGAGTAAGACAAACACTGCAGCATCATGATAAATGTCTATAGTGTGCATTCTTGAGATGAAAGATGTCAGCTGATGCAACATAGATAACAACTGTAGGAGAAGCCGTGCTCTGAAATTGACGTCAAGAACCAGGGGCCAATTTCACAGCGCTGCTTAAGCACAAAATTTGCTTAAGCATGAAAAACCTTGTTTAAAACAACAAAGGTTACCAGCTCAAACTCTATCTGATTGTCATGCTAACCAAAAGACGGCTAAATACAATCCCGAAGCAATATACATCACATGGAGATTTGGTTGGTTACCTGATTTATCAAGCAAGGTTTTCTCGCGCGTAAGCAAATTTGTGCTTAAGCAGCTCTGTGAAATTGGCCCCAGTCCTAGTTTCATTAGCATTGACATCCTTTTTTCTCCTTTGCTCGCATTTTGTTTTAATCAGTTGCGGACAGCGTTCCCGGCGGAAATCTAGTGGGCCCCAAGCCCTTCACCATCTTCGTCCTGCCGAGAGAGGACAAAGTCCCGCCCACCTTGGACAACCGGTTCCACACATTCGAGGTGCAGCGGGGCGGGCTGAAGCAGCTGCGCTCCATCCTGGCCGAGGGGACGAACCTGGACACCCCCCAGACCGACCTGGTGTACACCCTGATCACTGCCCCAGAGCACGGCTTCATACTGAAGAGCGGGTTCATCCAACTCGATGAAGGTGAGATTCTTAGTGTTGTCGTCACACTACCTTGAAAGATACATGTAGTAAGACGTTAATGTTGTCGTGCCCAAGAGATTAAAAGAACCGCGTATATCCTTGTTTTTCATGCCGTTTTTTTCTGTAACAGTAACACTGGATAAATTGTTCTTTTTCAAGACTTTTCTTTGACACTGTTTGTGTTTTTAAATACAATCTTAATGTAGACTTATTAACAGGTTGACATGTTAATTTACTCAGCATTTTACTGGATTGTTCCTCAGAGAAATCAGATTTCAAGTGATTACTACTTTGTGGGTTAACACTGTTATTTGTTTTCTGTTCCCTTGTTTGATCCGAGGCAAGTTTCTGCCTTTTTTTTGTGTGAAAAGTTCTTCAACTTGCATATCGTCTTCCTGTCCAGGTGCCCAGTTTACCCATGCTGAACTGCTGCAAGAGTCCTTCCACTACGTCCATGACAGTTCCCAGACGGAGCAGGATAGCTTTGAGATCACCCTGAGCGATGGCACCCACTCGGCCAGCATCGTCATGGCCGTGGTGGTCACCTACACAGACACCCGCAAGCCGTCCGTCCGGCGGGGGGCCACGCTCTCCCTGCTGGTGCCTGAGAACAGCATGGCTGTCGTCTCCCGGGATGAGCTGTCATTTGAGGACGACGACTCAGTCGACAGCGAGATCGTGCTGACGCTGGACACGCTGCCACATAGCGGCCGCTTGCAGCAGCGGATCGCCGGTGACTTCTACCAGGACATACCCGTGGGAGGTTCTTTCACACAAGCTGACATCAGTGCATACAATATAAGGTAACGAGGCAATGCTCATGACCCAAGCGGGGATCTGATAATTGCCCAATCAGGCATTGTGAGTCATCATCGCCCAATTAGGAACTCTCAGCGATTAGTGCCCAATTAGAAATATTTGGGTCATGGCAGCATTTGGTACCTTTACTACTGCATTACATAATTGGGTATTTGGAGAAATACGTGTATCCTGTTTAAAACCTTTCCTTATTTAATTCAGTGTCAGGTGGAAAGGCTTGCGGTAGCTACCGCAGGCCTTTCCACCTGTTGCTGTTCGACACTATGAATAGCCCGAAATTCCATCTTAATTCAGTGTGTTGGCCATTCTGTTCTCCCCTGCTGCACGATTCCGATTTAGCCTGGTCTTCTCGCTGAGCTCCGTAATGGTTCTACCTTATTAATATCAAGTAGGGCTTAAACAGTTGGTAAGTTGCGTTGCCAGAATCTCCAGCTAGTCTGTGAAGTGGAATGTTCGAATTTTCGGGTCACCTCGTTGCAGATATGTAGCCGAGGGGGAGATCGGCAGCCAGGCAGTCACCGATCTTCTGTTCTTCAACGTCAGCGATGCCAGCGGCAATGTCCTGATCAAGCAGGTGTTTCCGGTCACTGTCACGCCGGTCAATGACCAGCCACCATCCGTGACAGTGGGTGATGGCATCCGGGTAGGTGCTGTCATACCGTACTCGAGACCTTTTATAAAAGTGTGCTGTGTTTGCCAAATCAACTTTAAAAGGGCAGTTTTATATGGAAGATGAATTTTTGCCTACTTTTTCTCCTGAATTATGTAACTGTTTATCGATGATAGAAATACTTGATCATTTCTCACCCGCATAACGTCCATTCTTATCAAGTTGGCAAATTGAGTGATACATAAAAACCTCAGTGAGTCCTTCCTAATGCAGACTAAAATGAATGTACTAACAGCAATGGCGTGAAAATTCATTTAGTGGTACAACATATGTGGTGTTTGTTCATGTTACAGTTGGTTGAAGGAGCCCGGGAACTGATCTCCTCAGCCAACATTAGAGCAACTGACCTAGATACCAGACTAAGTCAACTGAAGGTGATCATTGACACTGGACCAACTTTCGGCTTCATTGAGAACATCAGATCAGGTATGAAGCTTTATTGTATAAAGAAATGACTTTCTGTGTTTTTTGTAAAGATTTGAACTTGGTCGATGATTGAGGTTTTGTTTTCTAGCTTACTTTCATTGAAAAGTGGATTTTGGATTTCTTTAGACCACAGAATTAGCTTGTGCTTTCGGTGATTTGGAAATAAATTTTTTGACCAAGCTAGGGCAAGGTATGGTACAAAAGTTAAGCCAGTCTCTCTACTGCTCCATCAAACAGATACCTTTACATTGAAGAAATTACCTTTGAGAATGACATGTAACACATACAAAAAGTAAGTACAGATAGAAATATTTATTGAAGGGTTGGGATTGCCAGCATGCTATTTTTTTGGAGTTTTTATCCGAGAACTCACTTTTTTCCTTCTGCATATTTTGGTGATTTCTAGCGCTCGGCTCCGAGCAGCCCAATGTGGATATCCCTGTCACGGACTTCCGGGTGCAAGACCTGATCGACAACACCATCTACTACGTTCAGAGCGTGCACCGGAACGTGGAGCCCACCCAGGACGGCTTTTTGTTCCATGTTTCGGACGAGGAGAACGACTCCCCGCAGTATCGCTTCAACATCACCATCAGGGTATGTTAGGAGGTCAACATATCCTGCCTCTTGACCTGAACCTGGGATTGTCTGTTATGGCTCATCTCAGAAACCCGTTGTAAAGGCAGAACAGCTGAAGGAAAAATAACTGTCAGTGAATAGAAAGGACTGTTCTTATTTTTACACCCTTTCCCGCTTTTTCCCATTTGGCAGTTGGTCAATGATGAGGAGCCCATGCTGATCACCGACACTCTCTTCCTGCCCGAGAACGAGGGCGCTGTAGTCACCAACGTCTCCATGTACGCCAGCGACCTGGACACAGGGCCAGAAGACCTGATCTTCACCGTGACCGAGTACCCGACCTGCGGCACCCTCCGCCGCAGGGCATTCATCGGCGACCCTCTCCACTTTGGCCGCATCCTGACCGTGGGCGACACGTTCACCTGGCGGGACGTGCTGGACGAGCTGGTGGTGTACGTACACGATGGGTCAGAGGTCAAGACAGACTCTTTTGGCGTGTCACTGACAGACGGGATCTATACAGTACTTGGCACAGTGCCAATCCAGATCGGGCTGATTAACGATGAAACACCCAGGGTTGCTGTCAACAGGGGACTCCAAGTCCAAATTGGTGAGAAAACCTCTGATATTCAACAGCTTGATGAAAATTGTGTCAAACAATTTCTAAAATTGAGTCATTTTATGGAATTATTTAGGTGTTTTCAACATGAATCATAACTTGCAAAGCAATGCAAAAATTTTTTAAGATTTTGGACTTTTCCTTTAACCCCTTCGCACCGGGAAGTTGTAAGAGCCGCTGTAAAAATTGAGATCCCTCAGCCCGCTTTTCAGCTATTATTCTCGGCCCACGTTTGAGCGAACACGGTGAAAGAAAGCATACCTGCAAACTATTTTTTTCCTAATTAGGTTCAACCACAACAATCACCAACTACGAGCTGCGCGCCGAAGACGTGGACTCAGAGAACATGCAGTTGATCTACACCCTGACGGCGGAGCCCACCGTGGGCCAGCTGCAGTTCCTGCTGAACGGCGAGAACATGGTGCCACTGCGGGTGAACGGGGAGATGTCCAGCTTCACGCAGAATGACATCGATAACGGTAGGTCTTCGTCCCCAGAGTGTGCCCGAAATCCAGAGTCAATTGCAGCCAGTTCTTGGCCACGTTTAGTATTTCAAGATCTGACGGGGCTTCTTTTTGACCTGTCGCAGGGTACGTCCGGTACGTTCACGACCCCATCGAGGCAGCAGGGACAGCGGTATTCAAGTTCACTCTCTCAGACCCGGAGGGTAATGAGCTGATCGATCAGTCCTTTCTCATTACAGTCCTGGGTAAGTTTATCCTTCACATCTCTGCATGAACAAAGGGATCAGTATCCTCTCCAAGCCAAAACGAAATTTCTGGGGGAAAAAAATGACTTTGAGACTCACTTTTTGGGATCCAGTCTTAGATGATAACTGTGCCCTTTCATGGAGACTAATCCAGCAATCAGAATGCAAAGCGGTTTTTTTGCAGTGGCACCGTTATCGCATGCAGGGGGTATGCATATTTTCCTCTTTGACCAATAGGATGTTGGGACTCTTCAAAGGCACAAACGCCCCCAGTTATTGCATGTATGAGTATGATGCCACTTCAGCAATTAAATTCTCTCAGATACATTGATATCATGCCCTTAAGCTTTCTAAAAGCGGACCCCTAAATTTGAATTAATCCTGTTGGTCTTCCAATTGCCGTCAACAGAGGACCGGGTGCCGCCCCAGATCCTGGCCAACCGTGGCCTGACCCTGGCGGAAGGCACCTCCAAGGTGCTCACCACAGACGTCCTGTCTGCCACAGATGTGGACAGCGTGCCGGGCCGCCTGGTCTACCTGATTTCGGCGGGGCCCACCTATGGCCAGCTAGAGTTTGCCGACGTGCCCGGCGTGCCCGTCACTGAGTTCACCCAGGCGGACCTGGCCGCCAAGACGGTTGCCTACGTGCACACCAGCGAGGAGGAGGCCGTCATGGACAGCTTCACGTTCACCGTGGACGACGGGACCAATCAGGTAAAGAAAAAAGGCACGGTCTGAGTAGAAATAAGTAGATGCGAGAATTATCACTGAGTCAGTCAAGGTCAATCAAAGTCATTCCACAAGTCACCTTACGAGTCAGGATGGTGTTGAGACTCATTTTAGGGGATCTGGTTTTGCTTGACTGGCTCTTCTTAGCTGTATTTTTGGAATAGATGGTTATTAATATGTTTGGATAAATGTTGTAATTGCAGTCAAAAAAAATTTATTGTTGTGACCACAGTTGGCCATGGTTTGCTTGCCAAGGATGGTTGGAAGACAGAACTTAATGGATCAGTCTATTGAATTTTTCCGTCAAATTTATCTTTTTCTTCCAGTGGAACACTCTCTTGGCCATGGTGTAGCCTTTCTCTTGCCATGGTGTAGCGTTTCTCTTGCCATGGTGTAGCCTTTCTCTTGCCATGGTGTAGCCTTTCTCTTGCCATGGTGTAGCCTTTCTCTTGCCATGGTGTAGCCTTTCTCTTGCCATGGTGTAGCCTTTCTCTTGCCATGGTGTAGCCTTTCTCTTGCCACACTGTTGAGTTCTTGTTGATTGCACCCTCCCCCTCCAGGTGACTCAGACCTTCTACATCACCCTGACCCCGGTGGACGACTCCCTACCGTTGCTGACCAACCTGGGCATGCGCGTCCAGGAGGGTGTCCGGAAGTCCATCACAGAGTTTGAGCTCAAGGCCCAGGACATGGACACACCGGTCAGTAACTGAGCACTGCCCTCCCCTTCCCCGTCAGGACATGGCCTCACCCCAATTAAGCCTCCACCAGGGAAAATACGATCAGACCTAGTGGACTTGAAGTTTTATAAAGCCGTTAAGATCGTCACAAAGCATACCATGATTACAGGAATCTTTTGTTGGTTTTCTTATCCAGAGTTAGAGATTCTTCCAAAGATTTTGCTGTATCTATTCAGTAAATATAGTTGTGACGGCCAGTCATTGTCAAACTTGAATTTTTTGTACAAGATTTATTTGGGGTTTATTTTAGGTGTTTCTCCCAATCACTGATGCACATTTGGTGAACACTGCATACTCAGTGTTGTCCTGAATCTTGTGAAACTTTTTTACTAAGTACCTCATTTTGAACTGAAACCCAGGACCTCCTGCTTACTAGTGGAGACTCCTTAACCCCTTGACCAACGAGCTTGCCGCGGTTGGCTGGTTGGTTCGAAATGGACGAGTAGGGGTACTGCAGGAAACGTGTTTTATAAAAAAGAAATTGTGCGTTGGGGAGATTTTTTGGTGTGGTTGTTTTGCCCGTAGGTTTTATTCATCCTACGGCGTCCTGATTAAATACTGAGCAGCCTAACGTCACTTCAGTTTAAGCCTGCATTATCAATATCGTTAATTACTTGATTTGGATGACCATTCCCACCGCAGGCGGACTCCATCATGTTCACCATCTTCCGCCAGCCCCAGCACGGCACCATCGACTACACCCCAGACGAGGCGCGCTACGCCCCCACCTTGACCTTCTCTATGACCGACGTGTACGAGAACCGCATCAGCTACAGCCACGACGGCAGCAACACCCTGGAAGACAGCTTTGAGTTCACGGTGACGGACGGCACCAACCCTCTCTTCATCATCGAGCAAGGGACAGAGCTCATTACCACGTCTGCACAACAGGTAGCCGAGGGACTGTTGATTTGGGATTTGGACAAAATAAACCAGGCTAATCCTCCTACATCCCAGACTTACATTTTTGGGGGCAAAATTCTCAGGAATCCAGGGCAGGGTACTATGATATAACATAGATCTTGACGTCCCAACATTATTTGCTCCAAATTTCTGCATTGGCTTTCTGTGCAGTGCTAACTTTTTGCAGTTCCAAGAAGATATCCCCCCCAGAGATAGGGTCAAAGAAACTAAATAAAATGGATTATTATTTTGAGCTGTTGATATCACTGTTTTAGTGTACTGTTTTGGCAGATTCCTTTGTCAAGAGTGTTATTAATTACTGAAGGAAATGCTCCACAGATAAATGCTCAACAGGTGTCAAAATGCAAAATGGGAAGATCTTTTTGTTGACACAAAATTGTGCTGTGTACAGTACAGAAGCTGAGCGGCTTTGTAACAGCTTCCCTGCCAACATTTCTTAGGATCCTTGTCGCTGTTGATAGGCTCTGTGCTGATTCCCTGCTAAGCACTTGTATGTACTGAGCAAAATGTTCCATCGTGTGAAATTACCCCTGGCCGCAAGGTTTGAAAAAGCAATGTGAACTTCGTCTGTAGTCCTTGTCATAAGTAGTAGACCATTAAAAACCTGAAAGCATACCTTGTAAGTTTCAACATTTTTACAGACCTTTCATCATATTCCACAGGGTATTAGGGTATTAGTTGTCGGACGCGAATTCTTACCGACATTAATCCGTTGCTGTTTCTGTCCCACGCATTCCAGACATTTCAGATAACCATCCTGCCCGTCGATGATGGCACTCCCAGAATCATCACCAACCTGGGCCTGTCCTACCTGGAGTACCTCGATGAGCAGGTCAGTCACGTTGAGTTCATGAAAGGACTGCACATTAAGCATAGCCATATTAGGACTGTTGGGATTGCTGTTACCAACTTGGAGAATGATATTAAAACCGGCTTGATGCGGAGAGCATCTTGCTAGTGCCATGTACGCTTTTTCCTTTTGAATTCTGTGTTCTGTATTCCTCAATAACAACCACACTCACTGGAGATATAAAATTCACCAGTATGCTACAGATGTAGGGGAAAATCTGTCAAAAGACAATAAGGGAAAAGTAGATATAGGTTTTAGGTGAGGGAAAATGCCAGATAATTCATTCCGAGGAACAACCTACCTAATCAAGTAAGGCCCAACAAACCCATTTCATGTGGTGGACAAGGTGGGTTGGAACCAGGGCCATCAGAGTTTGAATGCCAAGCCGTGGACCTAACGGCCAACCCAACCACCTGTCCATCTTTCCCCTAGTAAGTTTTCCACCCTTTCCTCCTGGGCAGGCGATGGGCATCATCACCCGAAAGAACCTGGCCACCATGGACGCGGACACGCCCGACAACCTCCTGGTCTACACCATCAGGACTCCGCCCAACCACGGCATCCTGGAGTCCACCCTGACCCCCGGCACCCCGATCACCGTCTTCACCCAGGGTAAGTATATGGGGAAAAAATTCATGTATCTATCCCTTGTTCGCTAATGGGCTTGACTTCAATTTCAATCCTCTCTGGGAATGAAACTAAGGGTTTTTAGCCCAAGGAAACAAAGAGCAAGAAGACGAAAGAGGAATTTGGCATTTTAGGAGAAAATTCAAAATAATATTTTGGAGAAAACCCAGGAAATCAGGTAGGGACTGAAAACCCAATTCGTGTCAACATTGTGTCTAGATTTTGAATCGGAGAGGGTTGAGTGGGGAATTTTTTTCTAAAATTGTAGTCCATTTTTTTCATGCGTTATGAAATAAATCCTTCCCTCCCCACAGAGGAAAGTGCCAGGAGGTTTTCCAGTACTTGGCTGCGTCCCTGTCTCAGTCAGACAAAGGCCGAGACAGAGGGAAAGCTGACTCTCTAATAAACATTCCAGTGCTGTTTCTGAAGAAGTGTTGTGCTTGCAATTCCCTTTAAAAAGGTTGTGTAAACCCCCCCCTCAAATTTTAAAGAGCTGTGGTAATGTGGAGCTGCACAGAGTGGTGTAAAAATGAATAATTCATGAGATGCTTTTGTGTCGTTGGCCAATGGCAGAGGACATCAACAATGGCATCATCCACTATGCCCTGAACCCCGGGGCGGAGCCGGAGCTGGCCGACCGCTTTGTCTTCGACGTGGCCGACAGCAAGCCCAACACGGTGTCAGGCACTGTCTTCCGCATCCGCTGGTCCCTGATCCACCTGGAGCGGGGCGCCTACAATGTCAGCGAGACGGCCGGGGTCATCAGCGTCCCCGTCAAGAGAAGCGGCAATCTCAATCAGGTATGCCAAGGAGAGAAAAACAGGTGTTACTTGTATTGTGGGCTGTCATGATTATTCATGTCCCTCACAGCGTTTTGACCAATCACAGCCGTGACTGCATAATGGGTGGTCAACCAAAGTCTGACCTGTATGCATGCATTTCCAATGATTTGCAAGTAAAGAGCATACCATGTGGGCATTGGAGAAGTGCTCAGACTGTTGCTGATTAGAGCTTGATTGGTAGCTCTTAGGCAGCAGATTTCCATGACAGTTACCATCCTCCTTGTATGCTGTCCTTAAACACAAACCTTTAAGATACGATGTAAAGCAGTTCTGTATTGTAAAGCTTCATTTGAAGTTTAGTTGGTGCTGTGTTGACTGTTTTAAACATTTAATTGAAGTCATATATCTTGCTTAAAGACAGAAACGGAGCAGCTTTGAACAGTTTTTGAACCCACATCTTGGTGTTGTCTCTGCCTATGGTTTACCCATTATCATGACCACAACTCCCTACTTGCAATTGAATGATTTTACATTTGAGCACCTCGATCCCAAATCCTTTGCATTTCCTGTCACCCACATCCACAGTATGCCATCGTGCTGTGCCGTACCGAGTCTGGCTTTGCCACGTCGGTAGGTGGACAGCCTGGAGAGAGAGACTACATTGAGCAGGCCGTCCAGGTGCAGTTTGAAGAGCGGGAGGACACCAAGCTCTGCAGCATCGTCATCAACGACGACGCGGTGTTTGAGGGGCTGGAGGACTTCATCGTGGAACTGAGTATGCCTGCCTATGCCCTGCTGGGCGACCCAACAGCAGCGCTGGTCACTATAACGGACGATGAAGACGGTAAAATAGATTGATTAATTGATTTGATTTTAAATATGTGATAGAATTAATGCAGTTTGATTTGATTTGATTGATTTGATTTGATTTGATTCAGTTATATTGATTGCATTTGATTGAATTAACTAGTAGTGATTAAAGTGAAGTGATTTAACTGCTTCTGATTCTTTACCCATTGGTAATTTGATCTACCCTTGTCACACATTTTAATCTGATTCAATCCCAATTTGATTAATTTTTGGAATTAGGTGAGAACTACCAGTTGAAATAATAGAATATGTAAGGTTTTAGTTTGACTATTAAGTACTGACAATCACTGTTTCCTCTCCTTCAACAGAGCCAAGCATTGAGTTTGATCAGTTAGTTTTCCACGTCAATGAAAGTTCGGGATTCCTCTTTGCTCCAGTCACCAGGAAGGGTAGGTACTCAAGAAAAAACGTCAAGGAATACTTTCATGTGTGCTTGCATGCAGCACCTCGCAGGCAACCTATGCCTAGTTCACGTATCACACAAGTGGGATGATTATCTTACACTTTTAAATGAAATACTTACAAAGAAATTTACAAACAAACCATATAGGGAAACTAAAGTGCTTACAGATGATTATAAAGATGAAGACTGGAAGAAATTGACTGGGAGTGGGATGTGAATCTGCAACCTCTGAAACACCGTACCAGTGCTCTACTAACTGAGCTATCCAGCCCTACGTTGGTGGCTCTTCCCACTTGCCAATATGTTGCTCGTCGAAAGCCATGAAACTTGAAACCCCATATGGCCAGGGATCACGCCCCAATCACACGATGCAACCTGTTAAGTGGTGAACAGGGATCACTCGAGGAGGACAAAACTGTTTGAAGACACAAAATCATGAAACAAACTATATAGAACTTTAGTTGTTAAAATGCCGTGGCTCGTGGAAATTCAGAGGTGAAATGTAGGAAATGGACCAAGCAAAATACTTTCTGGAGAGACAACTTTTTTCTCCACCTTTGGAAAGCGAAATTGTAACACTCCCTTCTCCGCTGTCCCTCTTTCCTTGGTAGGCGATTCCAGTCGCAGCGTCTCTGCCATCTGCTTCACCATCCCCGGCACGGCCACGGGCAGCAGCCTGACCGGCCTGGAGTCGGGGTCGGACTACAAGACCAGAGGGATGGACGGCGAGTACCGGGTGGTCTTCCCGGCCGGTGTCAACACGGCGTCCTGCGACATCAAGGTCTGTAGCCAGACATCTCAATCATTTCGGGGTTGCCTAAAAGCAGGCTGATTTTGCATTGCATGTTACTGATTCACGCTGAGGAGTTTGAATCTTTTTTTTTAATATTCCAATTCATTCAGTTTGGATTTGTTTGATGAAAGTAGTATTGTGGGTTCTTGGATGAATTTTGAAGGGAGATGGACATTTACATACCATCAGCTGAACCATGCATTGGCCTGCCTTGAAATGTGCACAACATGAACGTGCGCAAAATTGACACCCTGCTGGTTTGAAAATGAAAGGCAGAAGTTGCATTCCCCCCCCCCAATCCAGATCATCGACGATGCCATGTTTGAGGCAGAGGAGGAGTTTGAGATCGCGCTAGCCATGCCATCGCTGTGGAGCAGGCTAGGGAGGAAATCCAGGGCCATGGTGATTATCAACGGGCCGAATGACGGTGAGCTCTTGTTCTCCTTGAACCAACAAACCTTTTGCATGGATTGAAATCTGTTGTCTAAAAAGTGCAGCAAAAATAGTCACGGAATCCAACATCACTAAATGTTCGCACAACAAATATCTCTCTGTTTGTATCCATAGCAACAAGCCAAAGCTCTCTCTTTGGTGCTTGTGTTCAATAAGTTAGTATAAAAAAAAATGCCCTGGATTAAGAAGTGAGAGATTCACATAATTCTGGTCATGTGTGAGAGAAGTTGTGCGCTTGTAGCGTTGAAAAGCCCTGGAAAGTTGCCGTACGTCATGGTTGACATCCCCCCCCCTGCTGGATGTTTGAATATCCTCCACCTCATCGTGTCATCCTCTCTCCTCTTTCACAGAATCGCTGGTTTCTCTGAGCCAGAACACCTATATCTTCAATGAGAACGCCGGCACAGTGGAGATTGAGGTAGTGCGTCACGGCAGTGATCTGTCCCACACGTCCATGGTCTGGTGCTCGGTCAAGCCCAGCGACCCTCCCTCAGCCACGCCGGGTGCCGACTTTGTGCCGAGTACCAGCCAACTGACCTTTGGCCCACAGCAAACCGTCGAGGTAGTTCTAAGAGGAACTCGGATTGGTTTATTTTTAATTTCGAACGAACAACTGGAGCGAGGTTGCAATGGAAACTGTAAATGTTTGCAGTTAACACTAATAACTTGCATTTGTGATTTGTGGCCCTGGAACTGTGCTAATGCAAACTGTTTGTTTTTAATTTGTCCGTTCTGACCCCATTCATGTCTTCTCGTCCAATCAGGTCTGTCGGGTGACCATAGTGGACGACACGGCCAGTCCTCAGATGGAAGGCAACGAGACCTTTGTCGTCTATCTGAGCTCGGCCATGGGGTCTAGCCTGGCCACGCCCCACGAAGCCATTATTGTCATCAATGACACTGTGGACGACGGTAAGTCCAAAGTCGTTTGATATTTGGAAGGATCTTGTCCTTGTTCAGGATGTCTCATCTCTTTCTTCCGTGTTTTTATTATCACCACTATGTAATGGAAGTAAACTGATTTTTGAAGAATATTCTATGGTTTTATTTTATTTTTCACCATTTCTTTCAATAAGAAGAAGCAAACACAAAATGCTGCTCTGTTAAAAAACCTACACATAGAGTACTAAAATTGTCCCACATTTTGTCGTCGAAATCTAAACTCATCTTTTTAACCTACATTTAAAATTTGGATATATAGCTATGATGTGTCATCCTTTCCTCTTTGTTTTTTTCAAATGTACGTGTAATTCTTCACCCTAACCCCTTAGGGTGTGTGAGAAATTCCATCAAACAGGGGGTTTAGAACGGTTAAGATTCTGAAAGTCAAGATGCTCGTCATCATTGCCATAATCCGTCTGTGTGTCACTCCAGTCCCCACGATGCAGTTCTCTCTCAGCGAAGTCAAGGTGGAAGAGCACCAGGGGCTGGTCCACATCCCCGTCGTCCGCAGCGGCGACCTGTCCTTCGAGTCCTCGGTCCGCTGCTTCACACGGCAGCACAGTGCCTCTGTCATGATGGACTACGACGAGCGCCGCAACACGGACGAGTTCCGGATCGTCTTTGCCCCCGGGGAGAAGGTTAGTGTTTGATTTAGATTCTGCATGGAATCCAGCCCAGCAGCTGCTGCTGAATGTAACATGCTTATCCACGTATAACGCCCGCATCGGCAGTGCTTTCTGCATCTCGAAGTATTTGAGAATTCGGTCAGTCTGACTTTTGGAAAGGAAAACTTGCCTTTGTTTGTAGCAGTTGATGAATCCACGGAGGTTGTTACCTTTATCATTTCTTGTATTTATGATCAGTTCTCCAGTCTAAATGTCTAATTCTTTCTGTTTTTAGGTTAAGAATTGCACAGTAGGCATCGTTGATGACCAGACTTACGAGGCTGACGAGCAGTTCCGAGTCCGCCTGGGCGATCCAATCGGCAGCGAGTTCTGCCACGCGCAGATCGGCAAGAACAACTCAGCCATGATAACCATCCTGGACACTGAAGACGGTGAGTCCAAAACGATACTTCCAGTCGTAGCCTTCATCGATCGTCCACCAGTGTTTTATTCCAATTCTTATCAGAGACCCTGTCTTAACCACTTGCCGCCGGGGACTCCGGTTTCGGGCACTGTGTGTTTATACGCGTGGCCAGGGTCTCCGAAATCAGAAAAAGGGAACTGGGCCTTGTAACAAAAGACCGTACTCAGAACAAAAGACCAGGCTGTTGGGCATTATCAACATTTTTTCACTCTCAATAGTGGAGAAAATCCAGCCTTGTTTTGAAACAGTATACCTCGGTTTGAGGCATTTAGAGCCAGCGGATTACCTCCGGGGACAAAAGCTCTCCACCACTGCAGCCACATCGCACCGCTGCACGCTAATCTGGCCCCTGTTGAATAGAGGTCAGCAGCGCACTGTGCTGGTTTCGGGAACAAAAGGATCTTACGTAACACCACACAATCTGGGCTCTTTTTACAAGGCTGCAGGCCTGGCTGAAATACTCAGGCGTCAATAGATTTTGTCTATATAGTGTCTTGTCTTGTCTATGTCAGACTAGAGTGGCCACCAGACAGTAATTTGTGTGGGTGTAAATGTCCATTAATTGAAATTATGAATTTTTGACGAATTTCTAACAAATGAAAATCTTGAAAAAGTCGCGATTGTGTGCACTACATTTTCCAAACCACCCGGCAGCAAGTGGTTAAAGAGCTTAGGGACGAAACGTTCTGAAATTTGACAGAGTTCTACCCCTAGAACTCAGTGACGAATCATATTTAAGTCAATGGCAGATGTCCGAAGTACCCTGTCACGGCATTGAGTTGATGCAGTTCAAATTCATTTTATCCCTTTGTAGCTCCAACCGTCCAGTTTGAGCGGATGGCCTACAGCGTGCGAGAGCCCAGCGACCCGGATGAGATGTCGGTGGTGACCCTGACCGTGATCCGGACTGGCGACCAGAACCGCACCTCCCGGGTTCGGACGAGCACCCGGGATGGCTCGGCCAAGTCCGGGGTGGACTACGAGGCCCACTTCAAAGTGATCCGATTCCGACCAGGTACCCATTGGAATTTGGTCTTACGCTCCTGGAGAAAGAACCGAGACTAATTTTGTGGACCAGCTGGTGCAGCAAAATACTGCAAATTTTGATGCTACGCAAGATTCAGCAGGGAACCTACCACAATGTACACATATCACATTGATATTTGATACAGTGATACTTGATCATAGGATTTTTTTTTTTAGTAACATAACAAGGTTCTGGTCTTATTAGGTTGCTTTTGGGGATTGTGAAAATTGCATTAAGGTTGGCATTAATTGTGAAGGTCTAATTTTGACCCACAGTTTGAAAGCTAGCAACAGAGGCACCATTCCGACGCAGCTTTTGCTCTTCCAGCTTTCTGACTGTCCTTTTCTCTTGTACGCATAGGCGTCCGTTCCGTGGACATCGAGATTAATATCATGTACAACAAGGACATGGAATGGCACGAGACCTTCAGCGTGGTCCTCGGACCCGATGACCCAGTCAACGCCCTCCTGGGGCCCATCACCATGGCGACGGTCACCATCATCGACGAAGAGGCTGCAGGGAGTGTGGTCCTTCCCTCCACGCCGCTGGTGAGTCCCATTGGCTGCTTGACCCTGTCTATTAAAAAAAAATGCCTCTGTTGGTATAATTTACTGTTAGCTCACCCTGACAAGGGTACTCTGTCGGGCTTATCCATAAAAAGGCTTCCCCTCTCAAGATCTTGGGTGTCCCCAATCTTATTGAAACTTGGCATACATGTAAAGACATCCAACACGAGCGTAGCTGTGAAGTTTTTAATTCATTCCTGCCAAGGGTTTCGTTGTTTTATTGTTTATTCCGTCATGTGAGTCAGCCTGCTTTTTGAGCCTGTCAGTGGGAAAAGTTAATTTTGCGTTTGTGTGTTGTTTTTTTGCCTACCTTTGTTACAAAAATGGATATTTTACAAAAACATTTGTCTGGTTTCTTGATCATAATATCACACACGTTGCTGAAACATCTCTGTGCGGTTTGTTGGCCAGGTTGTGTCGTTAATGGACTATGATGACATAGCTGATAGTTTGGACCATGATCCTGCCCCGGGCTACCCACTCATCTGTGTTACTGTAAGTACTCCTGGGAGAGAAGTTGTAAAAGAAAGGGTAGTTGGTTTTGTTCATGGGTCTAAGATGGGAGATATGTTTTCCTTTCTTTGGTCATTGAAATATTGCACAGGCATTGAACAAGAAATAGGTATCTCCATTCGGTGTCGAGATTGAAAAGGAAAAGAAATGTCTAAGTTGTGAAAAAGCAAAGACTTTTTTTTACTTGTGGCCCGCATTAATCATGTTTTATATTCACATCATGGCGAATATTAGACTGCAACATTTTTAATGATTTTTTAATGTTTTTGTTTTCAATAATGAAATCAAAAGACCGATATTTGCCAAGGTAAAGCTGAAGCTACATGTAAACTGTCTCAGATTCACTGCCTATTCTGATATATTCTCGCAACAAAATCTAACGCATGACTACTCTGTTGCCTTCGTTTTCGCTAAACTGTTTTCCAGAAGTTGATATTGTCAAGGTAAGGATGATTTTGAGAGCAGGTGCATAGCACCTGCACATGCATGTCTGGTAAAATTTTGGCCCACGCCAAGTTTGTGTTTATGAGCTGAACAAATTTGGCCATCAGCCACAGCGTAATTGTTCCAGTTGGTGTCATTGGAAGTAGTTAGGTGCGTATGGTGTATGCATGTTGTGATGGTGTTGGTGTTTGCCAGGTGCTTATCTTTCAGAGTTATGTGTGCCTTTCTGTGGTTTTTTTTACTTTTGGCGTTAAAGTTCATACGATAATTTGTTAATTTTTAATTTGTTCCAAATTTTGTTGGTGATGGGTTTTTTTAATGATTTGTTGACTCGGTTTAAGTTTGTTACAGGTTTGAAATATTCAATTATTTTTTATGCAGCCGTGTGATCCCCACTACCCTGATTACTCCATGACGCGTTCCATCTGTGAAGATGCGGGCATCAACATTTCTAACATCCACTACAATTGGGAGGTTGCCATGCCGACGGATGCGGAGGGCTCCAGGGCACCCTTTGAGCGCGTCGTGGACTACACCCCATTCACCGCGCCCAACGAGAAGGTCCTGGACAGCGTCTACTTCAGCCGGCGCTTCCACGTGCGCTGCATGGCACAGCCCTATGACCGGAGTGGCCGGCCCGGCGTGCCGCTGCGCAGCAACATCGTGGAGATCGGCACAGACAATGGCATCTGCCACACCCCGGTCACGGCGGGCGTGGCACGCGGCATACAGGCCCAGTCCTTCATCGCCAACCTGCGCTACGTAGACCCGACAGACCTGGATCACCCCAACACCCTCCACGTCTCCGTGGAGATCCCCCACCAGGACGGCATGTTGCCGGCAATATCCACCGTCGCCATCCACAACATCCGCCTCCTGCTGACGGAGCCCGTCTACCGCCAGCAGCACATTTGCTCCAACCTCATCAACAACCCCTCCTGGGGAGGCCTGACCGACTACAGCTTCCTGACCCCCGTGGACCTGGACACCATGGTCATGGTCCCCGGCAACAACTACCCCTATCAGTTTGACCCCCAGCTGCGGGGCCAGAAGGCCCTCAACCTGTACCGCCACCTCAACCTCAAGAGCTGCACCTGGACCTTCGACGCCTACTATCACATGACCGAGCTGATCGATCTCTGCGGGGGTGCCGTCACCACAGACTTCCAGGTCCGTGACACCGACGAGAGTTACCTGACAGTGACCGTACCCCTCTATGTCTCCTACATCTACGTCACAGCGCCCACTGGCTGGGGAGCCCTGGACCACAGGACAGAGATGGAGTTCTCATTCTTTTACAAGTGAGTGCTCCTTCTTCTTTATGCTTTACTGTTCAAAATCATTTCATGTACCGGTATTGTATAAAGAAGATGGAAATTTTGTCATTCTTGTGGTGAAGTGAGAATCTTTTGGGTCTTGAAATGGGTTCTCGAGCATTTGGTTTTGTTAGGTTGCGTAAGGCTTAGGGTTACAGGTTGACAAAGTTTGGTCACATATCTATCGGAATGTTTCCCAGTACTTCATCAATGGATTTATTCTTAGCCATATAATGGGACAATAACTCCCCAAGGTACAGGTGATGACTCTTAATTGTTTCATTCTCCGAAATTTGATCTGAACATGATACGTTTCTCTACAAATTTCTAGGAGACATACAGTCAGCATCAAATCCTGGAGTTGATCTGGAGGGGTGGATTTAAGAGCGGGAAACAACTGCATCTCCTAAATTGTCTTTGGTTTGACTTTTGTCAGGACAATCTTGTGGAGGACAGGCCTGGAGACAGACAGCGTGCTGAGCGGCCGCCTGGAGGTGCTGAGGATCCGGATCGGGGACAGGGGGAATCTCATCATCGACTTCAAGACCACCACAAAGTTCAGAGGTCAGTCATCAAAGGCTTGTTTCTGGGGGGGAAGGGGAGATGCCAAGGGGGAATTGAGATGAGGGAGAAGAGTTTATCCACTCTGGCCTGAATTCACACGGACCCATTTTGACGTGTTTCATCTCCCCTCAGGACTGTTTGTTATGGACCACCACACCCTGCCCGACTACATCTCCCGGGTCGTACCACCCCATGAATTAGGGGTGGGTTTTAACCTACAGCAGCTGTGGAGCGAGGGGACATTTGACAGTCCCCAGCAGCTATGGAGAGCCACAAGCACATACAACTTGAAGGTGAGGGTTTGACATTTTCCTACCTCCAGAGAAGTTTCGTTTCCAGTCCTGGATAACAAAAATATATTGGGGTCGCGTCTCTAATATCCACATGTTTGAAGTAGTTTGGCTGCTTGATATGGAACCAAGGAGTATATCTTGGTTTAAGTTAAAACTGATGCCAGAATAGAGGGTATGCACAAAAGGAGGTTTCCCTGTGGAACAAAAAAATGCCCTGCAAGATGGCTGCCATGCAAAGCCTCTATACACAGGTTAGCTTACCCCTGCACCCTACCATGTTTTATCGTGACAGGACTACTCTGGTGACTACGTGATTGAGCTTCTTCCGTGCACCGTCACCCCAACCCAGTCCTTCAACATCATGCCCAACATGCCCGTGGTGTGCACGGCCCACCCGCCGGAGAAGTAAGTCTTCGTTGACCGCTTGCCCAAGTTAGACCCCACTGAAATGTGGCCCCGGACATCACTGAGCTAAGTCCTTGCTCAGCGCTTGGATGATACATTGTACCCACTCCTTCTTGAACCTCAGGGGGTTTTTTTTTGGGCAGGTGAGCTGATATTTGTTTTGGTTTTTTTTTTTCCCCCCTCGCCAGGTTTGTAGTTCCTATTGCCTTCCAGCAGACCAATCGCCCGGTTCCCGTGGTCTACTCCCTCAGCACAGAGTTCCACCTGATGAACAACGAGAAGGTTTTCCTGATGAATCCTAACGATGCTGCCATGAGCCTGCAAGAGATGGACTACAAAGGATCCTTTGCGAAAGGTAGAATTTCTTATTCAAAGTTGAAATTCAACTGCTTTTACCCTCTTCCCTCAGGTTTGTAAAGCCGTAAATGTATGGACATTTGATTGCCAAATGCTGAGGTGCACCAAAAAACAATTGACCAACCGGAGTCATGTGATCTTTGTCACTTGTTACAGGTTTGCACTTTGCATTTGCTGAGTTTGTTAACGTTTCATGAATTTCTCTGATTAGCAGTGTCGAGGAAAGAACAAGGACACGCAGTATCATTTCCATCAGTTTGAAAGATCTTATCGAAGTTTTATTTCTGGTTTATTGCTAATCTTCCTTGAACCAGTCAGGTAACCTTGGCAAGTTTATTGATGGAGTGGTTAAGACATCTGCACTAGTAAGCACAAGGTTGGGGGTTCGAGTCCAAGCCAAGTAAGCTTCATGTTGTTTCTCAAGCTGTCCGCCAACACTGAGTGCACACTGTTTGTAAATGCACACCCAGTATGAAACTAACTTTTTCTCTCCGTCTCAGGACAAAGAATCTTCGGCCGGGTGCTGTGGAACCCTGACCAGGACCTGGACCGAGCTTACAAGCTGCAGATTGAGAAGCTCTTCTTGTGCACGGGGGCGGACGGCTTCGTGCCCTACTACGACCCGGATGGTCAGATCTACAAGGAGGGTCCTCAGCTGGGCTGTATGCAGGAGAACCGAAAGCTGAAACACCGCTTCTTGATTCTGGTGAGACCTGGCATCAGTTCTGGTCTGGAAGTCTTGGCAACGTGCCCTCTGGCCTCTCTACTTCGAGAGCTGTAGTCGAATCCAGTTTATCACAAGTCCATCACTAGTCCGCCAGACTTAAGCCAAGTCACAAGCTTTTCAGATGGGCCCCGACTAAAGCATTCTTTTGTCACTGTTCACCCTACTATCTGTGACTGGTCTTGTGACCAGACTCGACTACAGCCGTGCCTGATCTTGTAGAAATTGTAAGATCTCGAGGGGAAGTCTGAATCTCACATAAGGAGCACGAGTTCTGTCACCAGTGATTCGTCAGTGAGAGTCATGCTCAGTGAACTCCAAGTCAAGTTGAAGTTAGATTTCAAGTCCAAGTTGTCAGTGTTCAAACTTTTTTGTTTTTTGCTCAGTAATCCAAATGAAAATCCCCTCAAAACTCAGAAGAAAGGCTCAGGACATTGTCAGGCCTGTCACATTATAAATTTATCTTCTCTGTTCTTCTAGGATCGTGGTGACACTGATGCTGTCACTTCAAATTTCAACGACGTGCCCTTCGATGCAAACTTTGCGAGTAACACCGAAAACTACAACGCCGTCAGTAACATGCCAGGCGTGGATGGATTCATCATGAAGGTTGATCCGTTGTACAAGGTAGGCATAGTGCTCAAAGGCAAAAGGGGGGGTGTGTTTTATATCCTCGGTATCTGCAGCGCTCTTTAGCGAAGTTACAGCAAGCTAGTGATTGTGTTCATTAGTAGTGAGATGAAATCCAGTGGGCTCGTATCACGGGCAAGCCCATGTTTACGCTGTCATTGGCCTTTATGAAAAAATTGTGATGAAGAAAGATCTACATTCAGTTGATAAAGAGTTGGCAGCAGGTGCAATTGTCAGCCAGCATATTGGCTTATTGAAGGCAGAGAGTTAATGCTGAGTAAATTGTTAAATTGTCTGTAGTGCATCATTACTGTATAGACACATTAGTCCAAGTCCCCATGTCTTGACAATTTCCTGTTTCTTCAGATCTCTAAATGTAAAGCTTCTGTCTTTTATTTTGAATGTTGATTTCTGGACACGGTTTTCATCCACCCTAGGTCCAATCCGGTCACCAGTGGTACATGCAGGTAATCTACACCATCGGGCCATCTGACTCCCTGCCACGGTTCCGTCGTTCCCTGCTGGCGTCCGTGCCCAACCCACTCAACCCCAACGGCCACAAGCCCAGCTCCCACCACAATGGCACCAACATCAAATCCCTGCTGCTGGAGGAGGGCGACTTCGAGGGAGGCGTGGCGGGCAGCGCGACGGGCACGGTGGTGCCGGCTGTGGTGGGCCTGCTGGTGTTCCTGGCACTCCTGTCGGTGGCTATTCTTCTTGTCGCCAGACGACTCCGGAGCAGGCGAGCAGCTTCGGAGAACCGGCGGCATCGGAAGCGGCGGGCGGCGGGCAAGCCAGCCCCCAAAGTGGCCAACCGGGACTCCGCGTCAACCAAGTCACTTCCCAACAACAAGTCGCCGCCCAAGCTCCAGGAGATCGAGATGGACATGCAGAAAATGGTCAAAGTTAGCACTCTAAATCTGCACAAACCAGAGAACTTAAACACGCCGGCCGTCAAGGTCAAAAAGGTTAACCTACAGGTCAAGTTATCCAACGCCGGCATCGAGGGCGGCACAGAAGTTTGATGGTTTGTTCCGGCCCTGTACATTTTTAGTTGTCAATTGTTTTGTTTGCATTATTTAAATACCAAAATATGAAACAAGGGTGCTTTAAATGTTATTTTTTTTATATCGGTACATTTTTTATTGTGTCGTCAACTCAAGAAAAGCGTTTTGACTTTTTTTTTTAAAGAACATATGCCACAGGAGTTTAAAGAGAGAGAGCCAAGGTGGCATTTTCTACCTCTAAGTTGTTTTCGTTGTGGTTACACTATCCCAAGCCTATGCTATTAAATGTATTTCTACAGATTGTAAGTAGCTGCCTATTTATGTGTATTGAGCTTAAAGCGTATCAGCAGTCAACTTTTTTTCACACTGTTGCTGTTTTTTGCCACTGTTTGTAAAAATTGAAAAAAAAAAAAGAAAGAAAGAAAATGGTCTTCCTCGCTTTGTTGGAGAATGTAGACAGCTTTAATGCTATTCAACTAATTTAAATGACATCATGCCTAAAAATCAATTAGTATGCCTAAAAATCAATTAGTAAGATAAAAATTGAATTGCAGTATTGTAGTACATGAATATAAACATGACACGAAACTTTTAGTGATATGAACGCTGTATGTTACACTCGTACATCTTATTTATACTTTGACTTTTTTTTAGATTAAGTGAGGTTTGATTGTGTTATTTTTGTCCTAGCATCGACTTGAATTGACAAATGATTTGAGTTACTGCTTGGAAGGAACTTATTGGGGGTGGTTACTAAAATGCCTGCCATGTGTGGTTTATTGTTTACGAATGCCTCATGGCGTGGTGCACATAGATGTCCATTTCAAAATAAGGAAGACAGGAAAAATGAGACAAAAGGAGCTCGGAGCAAATGCTGGGCTGTCCAGAGAATGGGATCTCCGATTTGAAACTGATCCTGCTGGAAATAAGGCTGCTTGCTACTGCCTGGATTACAGTGGTGAAGAAATATCGCTGAGTGGATGACCCCTCCGATCAAGCACCAGCGGAGAGCCAGTCGCAGGTGGTGTGCATGTTACATATCAGTTTGGTTGGTAACCCACTGCTGTTCAGCAAATGTTCTTCAGCAAATGTTCTTCAGCACTCAGCCAGTCTCTGTATTAAGCAGTTTTTTTATATTGTAGGTGTGCAGACAATTTGCCCTTTTTTCATGTCACCAAACCTTTTCATGCGTGAATTTGTTTTCCATAGTTACAGTGAGGGAAATAGACGTTTCTTACAATTTCCTCAGAGCCTGATTACCCTCCTCAAAATGTATTGGCTGCACCCCCTTGCATTTTCTGTCTAGACCTACATCTGGTTTCAGCACGTCAAAAGCTTTGGTTTGAAAATGGTATCCTGTTGGGATACCCCACAGTTTTGGACAGGCCAAGTTTGAGGGTCTGAAACCGTGATCCAGCTTTCCTTATTGGCAATCATGCTGACAGATTTTTTTTTTTTTAACAGTGACAAAATATTTTCTTCTTTTTTTATATTGTACATGTTAGCTTAATGGTGCTCTGTGAGGAAGTGAGAAAGAGAAATGTTTGTACAGTTAGCGTTTTTTACTTTCTGCTGTATTTTCTTCTTTCCTTTGTTTAATAGTTAAGAAAAAAACTGTGAAATCCACAAATTCAGGGAGACTAGTATTATAACTGCCAATGCTGCAAGGAAGAGGGAAAGTAGTTTTAACAGCCTGAGTGTGAAAAATATAAAAAGGCGTTGTACCTGCCTCGACAAAGCAATCGGTTAATAGCTGAAAAAATAAGTGCCTGGGAGCATTTTCATTTTTCACTTCCATTCTCCACACTGCTCTTTCACAGCCATCAGACACGTCTCTGGTTACACTCAGGAAATCGATAGCTTTCTCTTTCTGTTTCATGATTCTTTGTAGACTGGATTTAGGTCTGTTTGCTGGTTCTTTAAAAAAAAAAATCGATTTTTGAGGATGTTTTGTTTTCTGAGCTAGGATATTACGTTTACGTAGTCACTGATGACTGATGTACTAGGTCATCGTTCGTGTTTCATGATGTTTAGCATTACATACACAATGTTTACAAAATCTGATGTCTAAAATAAAACCTGCCTCATTTTGTATTCAACCCCACATTTTTTTATCCTCCTCGTTTTGAGAACAGATCCTCTGCAATTATGATAGACTTGCAGAAATTATTGTACATTGCAATATAGTGTTACCAAGCAATTACTGTCGACTAAATTGTTTTAACCAGCATACTTGTGCCTTTGACATATTTGTATGCGCTGTAAATGTAAATGCATCTCACTGCCAGATGCAGTCTCTCTTCTGTGTTTTTCCAGAGGTCAGTTTTAAAAACATTTAAACATTTTCTTTAATGTGATTAATTATGTGTCAGTTCTCAAACTGACGCCAAATAAACCTTTCTGCCTTGTTGCAATTTTACACAAAGGACCACTGGTGGAACAGGTAGAATTTGTAAGAATTGTAAAATTGGGCAATGTGACTTTTCTTTTTATATTTCCTAGTGTGTACAATTGTCTCACTTTTGAATAGTATGGTGCTATATTTGTTTTTATTACCACTGAAGTGCCTGAAAATCGCAGTTCTTGTGATAATCGGGTATTTGTTTCGTCAATAGGTTATGTAGAGGCTTCCACACTTTTCTGGCCCAGCCACAGAGGAGGGAAAAAATGAAATTTGAAGTTGAAATTACGTTTCCTTGAAAAGATGTGGAAGTTTACGTAGGCTGTATACATTTATATTTGTCAAGGTAGAAATGGAATGCCTTGTCCTGGAATGTGGAGCTGAAAACTAGAACTTTTTTAGAAGCGGAAACCGATGGTAGATTGTTACATAGTACATGTGCCGCCATAGTTTGAGAGTTGATTCAATGGCCTAATTGTGTCCTCAGTATACCTTCTGGGAAAGAATACAAGGTCGATGCACAGCAGTCAAGGTACTAGACTCTTTCCATTGATTAAAGATTTCTCAACCGTTTGGGTACGAGGACCCATTTACAATGATTAGCAGCAACAGAAATGGATATGACCCTTGGCATGGAAGTTGCACACAACGCAGAACTCCACTCAGTACGAAACGTACTGACTCTCCACAATACTAGGAGCACAAGAATCAAAGGTAACAGGAGGACCTGCTCAACCATGCCAGCCAGTCTATGATGTCATACCTAACAAGACCACTGATTGGCCAGAATGCAATGCCTTGGTATGGTTCCTTATAGCTTGGCTTGTTTGCTGTCTGCGTACACAGTCCAACAGGAAACCACTGTTTCATACTTGTTTGAGGTTTACAGGCCTCCGTTACCTGTTGACTTTGTAACTGGGCCCTCAAGTTGACAGATGCAATGGACCTCCAAATACCATGACACTTCAGTACACACTGACACCACGTGAACGTTCTTGGTGTAAAGGTGTGATGCAGCCCGGATTATTATAGCCACTGGATTGATAAAAAAACCTGAGCACATGTAATTATTTTGCAGGACATAATTTACTTTCTGCACAGGAATTCGCATGTGAAACAACATGGACTCCATCAGGAGCAGTTGGAAGACCTGCATGACACACCTTTGGGAGAGTGGCTGAGGGTTTTTTTTTTTCTTAGTTTGTTTTATATATGGAAACATTAGAGCTCTAGATCCAATCCAGCTGTTGGCTACATTGACACAAGTTTTGGATGTCAGTCTTGTAAGATGGTTGTCACACTTCGTTTTCATTTGATGCTTTTGACGAAGGCATGCTACTTGTAATCAGCTTGTACATCTTGACTTGGTTTCAGTTGTACTGTGTATTTACTGGGTTTGGGAATACCTTGGCTTTTTTTAGGTGGGGCAAAGCTTTTTAGCACTGAAATGTTATATTTACTTATTGTTGTCTCGATAGTATTTTGTCTTCCACACATTTTAAGTGGAATTATTTCTATTTAATTTTGGGCAGTCTAGATGCCTGAAGGAGTAATTATTTGATTCTGAAGAAATAAAGAGGTACCAAACGGGAATGGATGTCATGCGTCTGGGCGGAGTCTATGAAGTAATCTGAGATAAGTTAACCAACATAGGGCTGGATAATTCAGCTGGTAAAGCACCGGTATGGTATTCTGGAGGCCACAGGTTCAAATCCAGCTCGTCAACTTCTTTCTTCCGTTTTGCAATTATTTGTATTAGAACCTAGTCAGCTTCCGTATATAATTTGTTTCATGATTTGTGTTCAAAAAGCTGTATCCTGTCCGAGTGATCCCTGTTCACCATTTCCCTGCTAGTACATTGCTATCAGGTTTATTGGCTTCTGGCTAGTGCCCCCCAAAAAAAGATATTGGCAAATGGGAACAGCAACCAATGTAGGGCTGGATAGCTCAGTTGGTAGAGCGCAAGTATGGTATTTCAGAGGCTGCGGGTTTGATTCCCGCCAATTTCTTTGTTCATCTTTATAATGAGATAAGAATTTGACATTGATTACCTTTTGGGTTGCAATTGGTCAAAATTTTCTTCATTTTATCTCAGAATAATTTTGTGCAAATTCTAATTTGTCATTTTTCGGTTCAAAATTCAATAAAACAGCAGGGGGTTAGTCTTGTGTTTTAATTAAAATTTCCCCAAAGCATTCGCAAATTTGTTACCTTAGAGCAGCAAGGTCGTATCTAGTGTAAAAAAAAAAATTAGAGTTATGACCTTGTCGCAATGACACGATGGTTTTTAATTTTGTAGACTTTTTTTCCTTTGAGCTCAGAAGAACATTTTACACAGTTTCAAGCTCATTCATACCTTGCCATTTTTCGGCTCAAAATTTTAAAAAATGGCAAGTTATCAACGATAAAACTCATTACTCTCTGAAAACGCGCGAGGGCGCCCTTCGGCTACGCAAAACTCGCGAGTGCACTGCAAACAACACGTGGGTGCGGTGCACCGCGGCGTCTGAGCGCGCGCATGGCCTGCATGGTGTCGCTGTAATCCGTTTATTTTCGCGACTTTGTGTATCATCAAGATAACGCGTAAGAAATTAGTCTCTGGGGAATCGGTTTAATACACGCCTATGTCATTACAGTAAGTACAATGTATTTTGCTTTTATTATTCTACACTCATGCTTATTTACAGGAATAAAGTGCATAACCATAGTACTGTATCGTGTGTCCTTGAGAAAGGAAAAGAACATGTTGAGACAAATCCTACGACTCGGAGTAGGCTAGGATCAACACTAGGCATGCCTACAGTGCACGTACATGGCCCATTTCTTTGAAAATGACATGAGTAACTTTAGCTTAGTAGGCCTATATGCACACTTAGATTTTGCACACATCTTACAAATTGTTTATCCTCCCAAGCATGGGTGTGATGATGTGCTCACGTGCAGCTGTAATACAGCTCACATACATGTACAAAGTGCTACTTGACACGTGCATGAAATGCCTGGCCTTGTAATTTGGGAAGGCCAGGCACTTGGATGCATCATTCATTATCTCAAATGAGAAGGCAAAATCCCAGTCTTTCTTGCTCGACTGACAAACTTTGACATATGTATTTCCAGAATTCTAACATTGCATTTAGGCCTACACTATATATTAACACATACTGTGTAGTCCTATACTGATGTGTGCAGCTAATACGCAACGCCCTTGGCTGGTTCCCTGTCCAGTCACACACTGCTTGCAGCAAATCATTGGTTGCGCGACTCGCACTCTGTGACGTGACACGAAAGTGACGAAACAGCTGTCAGTTTTGTGCAATCGGGGCAAAATACATCCAGAGTGGGAAAACGGCAGCAAAATCGCAACATTTTTTCCTCCAAATGAGGTGTTTGTGCTTATTCTGCTAGCCAGAATAATTAAAACTGATTTCTCTGCAGAGACCACAGCAGTCAGGTTTCACTCCCAGCTGCTCCACATCTGATACAATTCGTGCATTACGTCTACTCACTGAAATCCATCACGAGTAACGCCCGCTTAATGTCGCCTATGTAGACACCAAAGCAAGGTCAGGATAGGCAATGACTTATCCCCCTCCTTCTCAACTTCCTCAGAAGTCCAGTGTGAGGCATCACTGCGAATCGATGTAGACAACCATAGGTTTAACGACCTCCTACATGCTGATGACGCTGCGCTGTTGATGACCCAGATAGATGAGGGGAATATCTTGCAACCTTTGAACGGGAAGCTAGTTACATCGGCCTTAAACCCTTTTGGGCTAAGACCAAGGTTCAATCCCTCGTTGGATCTTCATCTGCCCCGGTTTCCCTTGGCCCCGATGTCGTAGATCCTGATTCTGCTACCTCGGAAGCACTATCACCACCTCAGGTCTATGCAGTACTGATGTCCTATGCAGAATTGGCCTCACCAGCAATATCATGGGCCAATTAGACCATCTTTGGAGAAGCAAGGCCAGCCTCCCTGTTAAGCTAAGGTTTTATCGAGCTTCTGTGCTTTTTGCCCTCCTCTATGGGGCTGAAACCTGGACACTGAGAAAAAGAGATCAACAGCGTCTCCTGGCTTTCCATATGCAGTGCCAGCATCGCACACTAGGCGTCCGGTGCCATTATCTCTCAGCGCACATGGCTCGGTAACATCGTTTCGGAGGTTGCAGGGAGGCAACAAACTTTGTTTGGTCGCGTCCAGCACCTCAAAGCCTTGGCTCCTGCTCATCTTGCCCTCAATGCAGCTATCCAATTCCATCTTGATCAGCGACCTGTCACCTGGAGGAGGCCCCGCGGCCGTTCCCATCTCACTTGTCTTGAGCAGGTTGCCGACGCTGTGCAGCTGTCTCCAAATGAGTGCTGGTCCCTTGCTCTTGACAGAGGTGTCTGGAGGTCACTTCAACCCTTTTGATGGTCGTGTAGAATGATGATGATAATGAAATGAGGAAAAGGCAAGTTTTCTGCAATTAGCAACCTAGGGAATAGTTTACCTCATAAGTAGTGAACCTACAGGTGTAAATTCAGCTTATAAAATCAATCGGATATTCAGTTGTGCCCCCGGGTAAAATGTTTCAAAAGAAATCCCTATAAATCAGGACAGGGCCCAGTACCAGTATACGGCGGAGTAGTATACATTGGGCCCTGTTTACAGGTTTACCTTTCAATAGAGCCTGAAGGTAAAAGGTCATGCAGCGAGCTTCCGGAACCCTCGCGTGGTCCTCCTATGGGGATTTTACAGTGGGCCGTCCTATCATGTTTGATAATTTTTGGAAAAATAATTCCTAACTGAAGCCACCCCACGAAATACTCATGTTGGAATTTTACCTTTATCTTCCGCAAGTAATATTTGGGAAAGGTCACCTGGAGATGGGTAAAAAAATGAATTTTATTAATGACCGTTTCACATCCGGTGATATCGTACCTAGGTCTCCTCGCTAATGCACGTTTGTTTTCACTGGCCGTGCTTAATTGAAAATGAGATTGTACAACGTTGCAAAGATTTACCAACCTGCTTTCGATGGGTTTCAGATTCCGTTGAGTTGACATCATGTAGTTGTTGTCAGCAAAGGTTAGATAAAATTTTAGAATCTTTCGTAAAAGTAGAGCATTGCTTTAAGTTCATTACATGTACCTTATAAATTGTAAAACTGTAAAATATATTTATCTGTTTTTATTTTGGCTTTTACCCACAGACTACCATAAAATTTCAAACCGTAAATGTTCATCTGCGTACAAGACCGCCTCATTGCACTGTTTATTAGATTTTTGGAAGTGATGGGTCAGTTTTTGGCAGGATATTTCTCTTTTAGGTCAGGTAATTTTTCAGTTTCTATAAATTCATCTACTAGCAAATATTTTCCAAAGCCCTTTTTCCGAGTTGGATTTTTTAAGAGGTAACTGAACGAAAAAACCTTAAAAATTCTAAAATCTTTGCACGTTATTTTTCCTATTCAAGGGTTCTGGAAGCACGCCATCAGGGGTCTACTTTCAGGCTCTGTAGGCCTGCATCCATGATCATGCTGAGATTCAATGAGACAATGTAATGCAGGCCCAGTGACAGAAATACCAATAAAATTCCAGGTGGTCTTAAACTTTTGCAAATGACTGTAGTTTAAAGTTCCCCTCCTTTGTATTTAATTTGTTTTGGGGTATAATTTCCCCACAAATTTACTGATGAAAGCCACAATTTTGAATCTTTGAACAGTTTTTCTCAGCTCCTTAAAAATAACATCATGAAAATGAATAATTGTCTTGTAAAGAAAGAAATCTTTTTATTATAAATGTGAATTAGTTAAATCATTTTATGATTATTTTAATTTCACAGATCAAGCCCCTTATTGTCATAATATCTGCTCTTGGAACATTGATGAAGGTCCAAGCAAGACGGTCAGATTGTGAAATCAAAGAGGGCCAGCAGTCTACAACCCTTAGAAGAGGAGTTTAAAACAATGGTGAAAACTGCATGCATCACTTTGCAAATACTGACCGTGACCCTAACCCCACCAGATGCAGCATTCTGCTGCAGATGTAAACGTCTGATGCACTGTAGCCGTGTTCCTATTGGACTTCTTCTTCCGCAGGCACGCGAAAACTTACCGCGACAATCCTTCATGTCAATCTGCTGCGCATTCCCAATTGGACTTTTTTTTTAACCGTAACGGAATGATTATAGAGGGATTTCACATTAGCGCCGTCTGCTCATATCCGCATCGAAACCGAGGCTCTCTGTGTTGAAATTTGTTTAAATGTTTATTGTGATTTGCTTGGCATGAAACGACTGAGAATATTTCTTCCCCCCCCCGGATGGGATGCCAGTCCATCGCAGGTTGCTTCCCTGCTAATGCTGGTACCTATTTATAGTCTTGGGTGGAGAGAGGCAAGCAGGGGTGAAGTGGCTTGCCAAGGGCCACAACATACTGCCAGCAGTTGGATTCGAACCTCCAACCCAATGATTGGAAACCATAGACCCTAACCACTTTGCCAAAGGAAAGAGATCAGCCATACTTTTCCATTTTTTTTTACGAGCCGAGCCTTAAGTTTCATATAGCAGCTTTTTACAGTCACTTTGACAGCAGTTCTGTGACAATCAGTGTCTGTGACACTGTTCTCATGGAGCACCCACTTTCCCGAAACAGGTCAACCAAAAAAAATGTACCTGCACTTTCAACTGCTGTGCTGAGTGCACACAGTGGCTGGTACGCTTGTAACCTTCAACTTCAAAGGACCAAATCAACTATAAGTTGTATGTCAGATTGACTTGAAACTCCACATCTGTATTGATAAGGAGTGTTTTACATGCACGTCGAGTGTTGAAAAAATTGGGCTTGGGACGGCTGAGATCTTGGCTGTGAGATGGTACAAAATAACCCATCAACTTCAGTGTTAACAGTGGAATAAAATTGACAGAACTTGATGACATTGATTGGTTTCTTCTAGCAATCCTGGCAGGAGGAATTTCCATTGTGTTTGCTGCATCAGAGGCTCCGCTATAAAATGCTGATCAACCATAGAGGGCGCCATTACCATTCCATGAAGCCTGCTACATCACACAACAGTAATGGAAAGAGTAAAGGGGAAAAAAAGAACTGGACACTGCCTTAATGGCACTGGAAAGAGGAAAAACAGAACTGAATGCTGCCTAACTTTAATCACAGCAGTAGCGCCCCCACTCATCCAGAAAAGCTGACAAAATTTTATTTTCCAAGATATGCGATCAAGTTTCAACCAACCCAGTTGAATTTTTAGTGACATGTACATGATATAAATCAGAACATTTGGAAGTGTAAATCTAGAAAGGTTTGGAAATTTATGTTAGACCTTAAATATACTGAAATACATGCAGGGTCTGAATATGTTGTGTACTCTCTTTAACATATTGAAATTTCTGTTTTTGTTATTTAAATACATGTAAATATGCTGTGTCCTCTGACCTTTTTTGAAATTGCGCAATCCTAACCTTTAAATATAAGTTCCGAAATTATATTTATCAAGAGGCCTATGGCCTGGTGGTTAGCTTGCTCGCTGCCAGGCCAGGGGATCCCGGTTCAAATCCCGGGGTCCCCGGAAAAGGAAG